CCAATTAGTCCTCCATCATTTCATTGACTACCAGCGATCCACAATGGCAAATTTGGCAATCGATGTAATTCATCAATCCACAAATTTCATTCAATGATTCAAGTGCACGAACGAATTCAGGTGAGATGAAGAATTGACCATACGGTACTTGACGACGACAGGTCATACAATTCAGTTTGAAAGTCGAATGCGCAAAATAATTACCAAAACAGACTTTACATATTCGATTGCAACACAGTTTCATACAGCTTGTATTCTCACGGCATATTTGACATGGACGTTCTTCATTGTTAGTGGTCGGAATCTGTTGTACGGCTCTCTCAAGATCCTGAAGAATGATATCGGTCAACACTGGGATTTCGAGAAAACCTCCTCCAGACATTCGCTTGAGAACAAGTATACAGACACCATTCATCAACAATGATTGATAACGAGCAAATGACTGTCGACTGAAAAGATCAAGTTCTTTGTTGGCTAGAGTAAAACGATAGTCGAATGGATTGTTGAAATGATGGAGGACTAATTGGTGAAAATCATGGAAATCGAAGATTTCATCCAACTGACCAAGAAAATGTTGATCGAGATAGTGAAAACAAATGTTAATCATATCTAGAAGCAAAAGTCAAAAATGGCATTTCTGAATTAAAAGCAAAACAAACAAAAAAGTGTCGATTAAGAACTATGAAGTCGAGGAAATATTGAAAAGTCTTGTTTTTTTACAGCAGTGCATGCCCGATAGGGACCTGATTTATGTTTTGTCTTGCAATCAGCTTCAGTCTCAAGGCACATAAAACAAAATTGATGCCGACAATAGGGACAACTATGGTATTTACAAGCAGTACCATATCCTCCTGCAAGGAAACAATTTGGGCAACATCGTCGATCGGGCACCATTATTTCTGGAGCATTCAATAGTGGAACAAGTTCGTATTCAATTCTTCGCTCATATTGACATTCATTCGTGCAAGTGTAACGAAGATCTTTCATAGTTTGGTTATCCCATGTTCGATTGCAGAAGAAGCACAACCAACGCTGGCAGTTACTACACTGTTGCTTGGCATGTAATGTCATATTGACTAGAAACGCACCGCAGTAGCAGATTTGACAATCGATATTCTTCAATAAATCAGTCATATCGCATAAAACTGACCATCGATCGATAAATTCCGGTGTTTTAAAGAATTTCTGATAGTCCACGGAGGCTTCACAAAATACAGCGGCTTGGTCTCTTGGCTTATCTTTTGCGTTCGCTGCACTGAGTAAGTCAGAGCTAGGCGTCAGCTTACATAGGACTAAATCAGTACCGGAGGAAGATGTTCGATGGCTGACGCGATAGAGATCATTTCGATCGACAATTTGCTTCTTACATCGTAACTCGAAATTTGTTTCCTTTAAATAATTCGGAAAACAATCGAGACATACCTTGGTACCGTGTATCGTACCACAGAGCTCTAAACATAAACAGAAATCACAAATACTCAAGGTATGGTCGATTTTGGGCCATTCGCTTTTTAAATCTTCTAAGAGCATTTCTTTGAGAAGAGATATTTCAATAAATGTACCACCTGTAGCTTGATTCAAGAGGATGATTGTGGCACCGTCAAGGATAAGGTGCTTTTGTCGATTAAAGATGGCTTCGTTGTTTAAACACAGAACTTGATCGTTGACTACAAGTCGGTATTTGGTTAAATCACCGAGCGCTGGTAGAGCTCCGATCAAATCAGAGCGGGTGAAGTCATCGGGGAGGAAAGCAAAGATCTCTCCATCTTTCGATGTTTTAAAAGTGAAAAATACCATCTATAAAAAAAGAAAAAAATTGGTATAAATAGAAAATTTCTACGTACAAAAACGAAATATCTCATGCTCACAAAATGAAAAGCATTTTAATCCTCCATGCATACGACGTCCGACATAAATATTAACTGAATTAGTAATGAGTTTTTTCTGTTGGTCGAATTTTCCTTCATCATCTGTACATAGTGGTTTACCCTTGGCTACAAACGTAAACACCTTGTGGCTGTTAGGCCCATAAAGCTCATCAACCATATTGACAAAGTGGCGATAAGTAAAACCGTCTGGCAACTGTACAGTATTCTTCTTTCCATCGTCAACAAGAAAGTGAACATTGATCACCATGATTGCGTTTTGTTTAAAGAGCGAATGATTTTTCCCAGCGGTTGTTGACTGTTATATCTACATTAGCAGAAATGAAATAAATATTGTTCAAATGTATTCCATATATAAGGTGAGGTTAAACAATAAAAAAAAACAATTTATCGCTCATAGAACTGTTGGAATTACTATCGACCTCACTCTGATAGTTACTGAAGCTCTTTCCTTAGTTACAAAAAAAACTGAATATTTGCTACGATTGTAGATGAGTCATCAGAAGTTAAGCTTAATGTGGCACCGCAACAAAAAGATACGAAAGACGGTAAAGGCACTAGCTGCAGTTTTAGTTTTTGTTATTACGTATTATAAAAGTAAATGAAGACTTCTGTATCCTTTGGCGATTTTATGTGAGTAATAAATGTCGTCGATTTTTTCTTTCCTACTCGTGCAGTGTTTGTGTTGGTTTTTACCCAGTGAGGCAAATAAAACTCCTGTGATGTGCCACGACGAAAAAAACCCAAACGTATGATTGTTTTCTTTTCTTCTCAAAATGGTAAGTCAGATAAAGTCTGATATACTGATTTGATTAGGTGCGTGTTCAAGCCAGGCGCTGTGCTTCACTGCCACAAAAATTTGGTACAACATTCTCGGTTCGTCATCAGTTTGTGGACATAGGATGTATCATTTGAATACTGTTTAGGTTTTCCAACTCCTTCTGGTGTGTTAAATCCGTTTATTTATCTTTTTTCAGGTTTCTTTGGTAATATGGATATGTTAGATCAGATTAAAAAAACGTTTAGTGAAAGACGAAAAAAAGGTGATGAAAGCAAGCAAGGACCATTGAAAGGGACTCACGATGGCAAACGGAGGAGGTTTACTTTAAAGTATTGATCGCAATTTTGAATTAGTTCTGATTTATTTATGAAGTTCAACAGCGGCCGGACCATTTGGCAAATCTCGGTTGCAGTCATCAGGATCACAAAGATCCAACAGATCTGGCTTAAGTATGCATTTCTCTACGCGCTGCTTGAATATAGTTATTACTAAAGAGTCTGAGAATTCTACACGCTTTAAGATGCCAGAGTTGAATGCTCTCCAAAGGTGTACATACGCTAAATGAAATTTTTGCAGCATGTTTTGTATACGCCATTGTGCAGTGCAATGATTATTTCTGCTTAGATAAATTAAATGCAAAACTTTCTCCATAGAAAGCAAGAGAGACGTTTTGTTTTTAGAACGCATGAAGCTTTGGATTTTAAAAAAATGTTGTACATCTGTATCATTAGAAGAATCAGACGAAACCATTGAGTTATCAATTATTCCTCGCTTGACACCATCTGTTCCAGTACAAGTATCTTCTATAACTACGACCGTGCTACCAATCGCTAGTGATCAAGCATTCAAAGGATCAATGATTACGACCAGATTTCGTTCAAGTATGTTTGTTATGTTTCAATCGTTTACATAATTGAGATGAGACAGACGCCAGAATTTTTTCTCAAACAACATCAATTAATGAGTGCAAAAGATTATTTGTTGAAAAAACGCATTCTACAATAGCTATTGATTTTGTAAGATTATACTCTATTTCTCATACGTATCCTAAAATGAACAAGAGTTTTAACAATTCGCTAGATATAAAAAATTTACGACATGTAGAAATTAGTATGAAATAAATTCTTTTCACTTGAATATAAAATTGGGATTATAAAAAACTTATCTTATGGCAAAATTAGCCAATGGCAGTTTTTCGTTTTGTCTTGCCATATCTTACGTCCATCTATTCTATTTGTTCAGTTTGGTATGCTCTTCACAGGTTCTACATTGCGATATGATTGGTGTAATTCATTTACATCAATTGCTGCTCCATTAGCCTCTTCTGAAACAATTAATATCGATCGCAGTATAAGAGACCTTGCAGCATCATCGCCATTTCAAACTACAATGAAAAATGCTTTATACACTCCTCAAAGAATGCACAAGAAGTCTCGATCTCAGTCTAACACAAATGTGAAAGCTGAACATGGCGCATCGACGATAACGTCTCATAGTCAAATGATACCGCAATCAACTCATTCGCCTAGCAGGCCAATTCCAAAACCTCGTTCGCGAAATCTTACTTGCTCGTCAACCTTAATCAATAAGATCAACAGCGATGAGACGAGCAAAGCAAGTTTAAGCGATATTCCTCGTTTGTCATACAAACGAATGAAAACTACTAATGTATCATCTGAAAACAATCATGCTCGTTGTAGATCTCAGGAAGAGATTGTCGCGGATTCAACTCCAGAGTTCTTAGATCTCACCGTGATGCCGATTTGTTGTGAAAAGAAAACCATAGAACACACCACTGAAAGAAAGCAAAATGACGGAAAAGCTACTTTTTCTTCTCTGAAATCAACCTCTTCTGAAGGCATATTTTTCCAACCGACTGAGGTTCAACGCGGGTACTGTGGTTTACAGAACATTGGAAATACCTGTTACATGAGCAGCGCACTTCAGTGTTTGAGCAATGTTCCTGATTTAACCGAATACATTTTGAAAAATGGTCTGGCTAGCATTATTAATACTACTAATGACTTTGGCACACAGGGAAAACTGGCAATGGCCTATAACGACTTAATTAAAGAAATGTGGTCTGGCAAAAATAAGGTTACCCAAGGAAATATTGTCAAACGATATGTAAGCGAATTATCGCCGCGATTTGCTGGTTATAGTCAGCAAGATTCACACGAATTTCTCAACGTGTTATTAGGTATTCTTCACGAAGATTTGAAAGAAGAATCCGAAACAATTGACTATGAAAAATCTCTTATTGCGGATATTTTTCACGGAAAGTTACGATCAACCGTTACATGCACATGTGGAGAACCCGTAGTAACGTTTGATTCAACCAGTTTTCTTGCTTTGCCAATCCCCGATATACCAACGAAATGTCCTCTTCAGAATTATCCGAGCAACTCTAAGAAACGGACAGCAACTCTGATTGATTGTTTAAATGCATTTTTCAAGACAGAGAAACTCAGCGAAAATGGGCAATGGTTTTGTAATAAATGTGAACGTTTGATGAATGCCGAGCGACAACTCGATTTATGGACGCCACCTAAAGTACTCATTTTACAACTCAAACGATTTACATATGATATTTCAGACAACACAAAAATTCAAACTCTTGTTGAGTTCCCCGTGAATACTCCACTTGATCTTAGATCGTTTATTAGTGATCCCAACTATAAAGATAACACTCTTTACGATCTAGTGGCAATTTCCAGTCATACTGGTAGCCTCACTGGAGGACATTACACTGCTTATGCGAGAAATTTTTTAACAAAAAAATGGGTCCATTTCGACGATGCAGCTATCACTGAAGCAGATGAGAAGTTGCTTCAGTCACCAAATGCTTATATTCTTATTTACCGTCGACAGGAACCAAACTGAAAACATTTATTTTTAAAACTACTTATTAGTATTTTAATCCACACAGTTATTTCTTTTTTCCTAAGTTAATTTGAGTTTGTCTTAAATATGAAGATGATAATGAAAGTTTCTTTCTCTACAGTTGTGTGAATTTCGAATTTCAGATATTGTTTAACTCAAATGTCGGGCTATTTAACATACTACCAATCAAATGGTTGTTTCAGATGGTATGAGTGCCATCCGTCGTGCCATCGTTCAGTCCAATTCTTCACGACTACTCAACTTCATTCTCGTACTCAATATGTAGATGGCCATCTTATCTCTGAATATGACTTAATCAAGTCCAGATGTCCCGATTACAATGATCAATACCTGATTTGTTCTTTGCATCGTCATTTATTCTGTGAACGTTATATACCCAATCGGTGGTGTAGCTATCATGGCTGCTACAGTACTAACGACTTGGCGTACATAGGTGTTCGAGCCGCATTGGCTATAGGAAATGTTCCTATATGTAAGCATTTATAAAAATCAAAAGAACTTTGTAATTTCGAAATCTTTTTGTTCTCAGTCGGCTTATTGTGTGTTATGCACAGAAACTATTACGAACAACAAATGCTGGCTCGCAATTTACGATGCATTTTAATTACTCGGCCTGAATCTCTTCCTGTGATGGATTGTCAACAATTGCTATCCGAAAATGTTTGATAATATTTTCTATTTTCAAATTATATCTAACATGTAAGTTTCAGAAAATCGGAGAACATGCCAATAGTCGTTCATATTCTACAATGGTCGGGGTATTTATCACTTTGCTGATATCAAACATGATACAACCTTTCATGTCTTTCAGCAGAAATCTGAGGCAAGTATGACATCCACAACAATGCGTGACCCAGAAGCCGGTCAATCTTTTGAACCAACCACTGTAAGTAGATCGTAGGAACAAGGGTTTATATTTCAAGTAAGCCCAATTGGTGGTGTATATCTATTGCGCTATGTTAGGCGTATGGAAGAAATTCGGAAATTTTTTCTCTGAGTTTTGAAATTAATCGATGAAAAAGAATTGAAACTAATATAATCCATTTCAGGATCAAAATCAACAATTTCAATCGAATATATCAAGACCAATAGTTGATGAATGTGTTATTCAAGTAAAGGACACGAATCGGGTAAGACTATATTCATGAAAACTGGGAGCTCATCGTTACCAAGCTTGTTTTGAATCTTGTGTGACACTGCTATAGCTTGTCTACTAAACAATTAATTAGAATTTGCGGCTAAATCAATTGTGACTCTAACGAAGAGCAATTATCATTCATTCTTAAATAAATTATTTTCATAGAATCATCAGAAAAGACGGCCTGATACACAATCGTCACCATCGCAACTTTCCAGTATTGAACCAATGGAAGTACAGAAATATATTCAGATTGAAATATGTGCAGATCTTTCGAGTTATCATCAATCGGAAGCTATAACCTTATCGGAGACCGACACGTTTTCTACTCTAAAAGCCAAGATCATAGAGAGATTCCCACACACTGCTACTACCAACGACGTATCTTTATTTTACAAAGCGGATCGATCGGAAAATAGTCGATGGAAGAAGCTAAAAAATGAAGAAGAAAACCGACTTCCGAGCGAACTGTCATTTAACCATGATTATATTGCGACTTGTGCAGCTCCTGATTCTCTTGAAATCAAGTCAACTGCTTCACACAACGCACAGCCATCAAACTGTTCGGCAAAAAACCATGCCTTATATCCTCTGCCAGGTTTGATAAATTTTGGCAATACTTGCTTCATGAATAGCGCATTACAATGTCTGAATCATATTAAACCCTTTTTTGATTATTTCCACAGTGATGTGGTAAAAACATTGCTGTATGAGATTAAAAACAGCGAAGAAGCAAAATGGAAACTGACTCAGTTATATCAAGAGTTGATTGATTCTTTTTGTTCACCACTTGGGGGACCTGTTGCACCTCGTGAGCTCCATTTTAAATTTGGACAAATAGCACCACACTTTTACAACTATTATCAACACGATGCAATTGAGTTTCTGAATATCTTACTCGATACATTGCATGAAGGTTTAATGCAAATAACGCAAAAAGATGATACGATTATCTCCGAACTTTTCCATGCGCAAATTACAACAGAAATCACTTGCAGGTGTTGCAGAAAACCGGCAAACACTGATGATTCCTTCAGCTTTCTTCCTTTGCCGGTGCCAGAACAACATAAGGACAGGACTTCCCAACACACTAGTGAATACAAACTCGATGATTGTTTTAGATTATTCTTTCAATCAGAAAATATTGGAGACCACGGAAAGTGGTATTGTGAACATTGCAAGGAGCTAACTGATGCGAATAAGACGCTTGCTTTGAAAAAATTACCCCCAGTGCTCATTATTCAATTTAAACGGTTCAATTACAATCTCAGGTCGCATGCAAAAAACAATACCTTAATCGCATATGATCTGGACAATTTCGATGTAAACGAATACGTTGATTCACAATACCGAAACAATCGTACTCGATACAATCTGATCGCAGTTGTCAATCATCAGGGTAATCTCCTTGGTGGACACTTTGTAACTTATGCAAAACTCCCGAGGACATCGGAATGGTACGAATACAACGATGATCAAGTTATTAAAGCAGATAAAAGTATACATGAGAACAATTCTAGAGCATACATTCTCCTTTATCAACAAGAAGAAAATGTTGATACTGGGACAGCTGTATAGTTCACAATTAAAAGACGTGACGTATTCATGTGTAAAATTCTTTTTCCATTGAATTGCTTTGTGAAATCCTATCAGTTGGTTGGAATGTCTAGTTACTTTTCGTCAGCATAATCTAATAAAAGGATTCATCAATTATGAAATGCATAGTCTCTCGTCTTCCCAAATAAAATTATTCGTGTTAAGTTTTCAGTTTCAGATATACCTTTATTTTTCAAGACCAAAATACAACTCAATTTTTTATGGTATGTTCGCTTTATTCGAAAGTACATTAAATCTTGTTTTATTTTGATGAAAGAACTAGTTTCGTGTTTATTGTGATATAAAAAAATTCATCCTTCATTCTATGATTTAGTAATACGAGGAAACATAGTAAAGTCTTGCCGTTTCACCGTTGTACACACTTCTCTGATACTATTGGGGGTCTTCTCACACTGATTTTTTGGTGCCAAACATAAGAAACAAAATGTGTGTTTACACACAACACATTTATGATACTTGCATTTACCATCATAACCACCGACATTAAAGCATTTTGTACAGACGCGACTATTTGGAATTTCGATCTCTTTGTTTTGAACATACGGAACTAAATCATAGTTTAATTTCATATCATAATCGCAGTTGACCCCACATGTAAAAAGTTGATTGTGTCGAGGTTCTGGTCCATCTTTCCAATCCTTATTACAAAAGAAGCAGAATATGCGACGACAATTCTGACACGTCTGTTGAGCATAAAGAGTTTCATTCACGACCAGTGCGCCACAATGGCAGATTTGACAGTCGATATGTTTCATCAACTCACGAATTTCATTCAGCGACTCCAGTGCACGGATGAAATCCCGCGTAACGAAAAATTGCGAATACGGGACTTCTTGAGGACATATCATACACCTAACACGAAGATCATTTTCTTTGAAATAACGAGGAAAACATGTTAGACATATAACGCTGCAGCAAAGTGTCATACACGGCTTTTCGTCCAAGCAGACAACACATTCTCCTGACTGCATGCGAAGTTTCGGAAGTTCTCCGGGTAATTCCTCGATGATGATGTCGATGAGAATAGCGGCCTCAACATGTCCACCGCCGTGCATTCGACGTAGAAGAAAAATGTTTCCGCCATTTTTTATCAGATGTTTTCGTTTTGTAAATTCATCTTTGTTGTCTAAGCACAAATCTTTGTTGTTGGCAATAAAACGATAGTGTTCGACAGCGTCATGATCGATTTTATCGACGACGACTTTTTTGAAATCATCGAAAGTAAAATCATCAGGTAATTGAGTTTGAATTGTTTTACCAACAACGTTTGTGAAGGCAACGTTTATAACCATCGTTGTGTAGAGAAGTGTTTTATGTTGGAACTCAAAATAATATTTAATGATGTTTGTTGGAAAAAACCCAGTATGGGTAATCGACAATGACTCATTGTCTAAGCGTATGAAAGGAAAACAAAAGCAGTGGGTTTTTTTGATTGTAGTCATTGTGATTATACTGGTACCGTATGCTTGTTTAGATTTTCCAAAAAAGAGAAAAGATTTTCATGCCAGTTTGCACGGAAAGATAAGGGATCAAGTCTGAGATAATATATATGCGGAGGTGATGAGTACATTTGACAGTAAAGGATTGAAATTAGTTTTGATGGGCTAGTTTTTTCTGTAGACCCGCCAACATTTTTTAAGCGGTGTCAGCCGAGCTAGTGTTAGCAGATACGCATCAAGTATAGTTCTCACAAAGACTAGTAAAATGAATAATTGTTTCGTAGTTTCATGTTCCAGGATCTTGGATAATTCTAAGATTTACCAAAAATCAGAACTTTCTCTGGGTGAACATTCAATCTTCAGAGGCTTGAAGAACACCAATATGGCTGACGCTATTAGAAACGCAATGACGGGTATCTTTGACAGTAACTATCCATGGATATGTTCAATTTTACTTCTAATCATCGTTATACTCTTAATCCTCATTATAGCCAGAATGTGTACCACGTCCAATTGTATTTCGCCATCTGTTACCCGTGTTGATTTTAGGACATATCGCTTACCATCTGGTATTCACGAGCCAAAAGTTCACAGAACCGCAGCCGCACCAGCATCTGGCTCCAACGCTAGCAGCCAATTTGTATCATCCGTGACACAGCTACCAGGTTCAGTGAATATGCCAGAAACAACTCCGCTTCTATCTGAAAATGTCAAGCGTATGATCGAATCAATTCAGTGTTACCAGGAGCGTCAGGAATCGGGCGGATGTGGCCTTGTAAATTTTGCAAATTCATGTTACATTAACAGTGCTCTTCAATGTCTTTGCCATATTCGTTCATTCACCGACATAATTCTCTCTATACAAGAAAAATACCAACGTCACTTAACACCGATCTCATCAGCATATGCTCAATTATTAACTAAAATGAAATCACTTCCCAGAAGTTCGACTACTGCATACGAATTGAAAGCATGTTTAAGCTCTGTTAATCAACGTTTCAGTACAGCTGATCAACAAGACAGTCATGAATTCCTTACTACCCTCATCGAAGCCATGCACGATGAATTAATGGATAACTATCAGGATGGGTCCATAGATGATCTTATGCATGGCACTATTAGATCAGTAGTCAAGTGTAATGAGTGCCTAGACGAATCTTATACAGATCAATCATTTTTATCTTTGCCAATATCCGTACATCAATCAGAAACAACGACTTCTTTATCAGGCATGTATCAACAGTTTGCTGGCTTTCTCAGTGCGTTCATCGGAAGGAGCATCAGTCTTGATGACTGTTTTGAACGGTTGTTCTCGGTGGAACAATTGAATGAAGGTGCCCATTGGTTTTGTAGTAAATGTCAAAAACTAACTAAGGTAACAAAAACGTTTCACTTGGAGCATGTACCAAGAGTACTCATTCTCCAACTGAAACGATTTAGTAATGATTTGACCGATGATACAAAAGTCAAAACCAAAGTTTCTTTTAAACATCAGCTTGACTTACAAAAGTTTATGAATCGATGTGAATTAGCTCAGTCCTGGCTATATACTCTTGTTGCTGTCGTGGTGCATGAAGGAACACTAACCAGCGGCCATTACACAGCTTTTGCTAGGCATCTGGATAACGAATGTTGGCATCATTTCAACGATGAAGATGTCTCTCCAGCATCGTCGAAAAAGGTTTTAACATCAGACGCATATATTCTTGTGTATGAGCGTAGATGATCGCGCCCTTTTTTTAAGGTATTTAATTTTTTCTATAAGGTATTTATTGATATTAACTTGATCAATTTGAAATGCATTCATAAGCGGAAAAACTCGCACTTAATGAAACTTTTCAACGAGAACAATGTATATTCTCACTAAAAGAGCATGTGGGTTCATTCTCATTTTCACTACGCTTTACCTTTGAGTCGTACAAGTCACATCAGCTTATTGGTATCTCTTTGAAATCTTTTCGATTTCTGTTTGCCTCCGTCAACTTCTTCTGATTTCATCGAAATTATCTATCGTAATGTCAATACGGAAGGCAGTGAATACTTTTGAAAAGTAAAATTTTGATCTGATGAATATTTTCATCTTGTTTGTCATCAATCAACATTCTGAAACAAGTCATCGTATCAAATAAACATTGAATTGCGTATATTCATTATTGAATGTAATTCGACGAGACATATTTCTAAGTGTTCATTTTATTCCAAAGAAGACGAAGTCGTGATACATCGATAACAATAATTCCAAGTTGTTTCAGTGGAAGATGCAGAAAACCAACCGGAAAGCGTTCATTTGGGAGGAATCAAAATAACATTTGTCCTTGTCTATATCCTACAAACATCTTCACTTATTCTACCAAAACTTTAAGAAACATAACTATTTTCAGTGAACACATGCTGTAATCAAACGAATTAGAGTGAGGGTGAACTTCGAAATGACGCAATAAACTGAACGGAAAAGAATATAGGTTACTACTGGTAGCTGTGCATGTATTGTTTGGAATGATATTATGTATACACTCATACTCTGCATTGTTCGAGAACTATAAGTGCTGAATCTCAATATTTTTCGAAATGGAATGACTACCAAAGGAAGTCTAAGAATTACCAGGGTGGGTGTTGGATGGAACTGATTTTACAAAACAATTGAGTATTTTGTTTTTAAAAGTTAATTCTTATTTGAGCTATAATATTTGAATGACTTTCTCGTATATATAGTTGGTAGATAAATTCTTCTCACTATTGGGACAACCTGAAAATACCTGTCCTACACAGATGAAGGTGGAGCGAGTCGGCATGAAGAACTTTACTCGTTTATACTGGCTCTATTTCCTTTTTCAGGTTCTGGAGAAATATCTTCTGTCTATTTAATGAAGACTCAAAGGATATTTTCTTATATCATGCTTAATAGTTGATATTTTTATTCCAAATATTTGATTATTCCCTTTTCTGAAAGAAAGAGTTATAGAGTACAAAATACGGTCGTTAAAGTGCAAAAAGTTTGTTTGCATAATTCAATCAGATTGCAGCATTTTATAAGTCCATCAAAACTCAAGCGTAGTCATTAGGAAACAGCTGACCTAGAGTAATCGGGGTCGAAAATCACGGAGCGGTGTCAGTTTTCCCAAATACGAATCAGTTAATTAGCTCATTAGCTAACTGTGAGTTCTTATAGTGGCGAGTAAGGGTCGACCGAAGGGTATGATCGGGGTCAAAGATCACGAATCCAAAGTTAGTTTTTCAAAATTTCAAGTAGCTAATTACTAATTAAGTGGCGAAAAATTTTTCGATTGTAGAGTAAGGGTTCACCAAAGAGTAGTCGGGGTCGGAGAATTCGAATTTGTTGTTAGCTTTTCCTTACTCATTAAAATCCGTCTTCTTCCTTTCTATTTCTAAAACAGATATTTTTCTGCATCTTTTCTAAAATCTTTGTATAAAAGGTAGTGAATAAAACGCTATTTCTGGATGTAATGTGAGCGAAGATAGTGGTTTAGGCCCTTACACGAAAAGATTTAACGTATCTTACATTATCGTATCTGCCATTCAAGAAATAAGAAAAAATAGTATCTATTTAATATCACATTTGCCTTATGAACTACGGTACGTATAAGATCCTTCGATAGAATTTTACGGGAAATAGGTTTCCAGAACGTATACTTGTCAGTGTAATTGTGTGTTATTAACTATAGAGACAACGGCTAGCCGTGAGCGGTCGAATGGAAGGAGGCCGACGAACGACTAACCATTAAACGATGGGTTTTTGGTAAATATAGCTGGTACTTGAAAACTGTTCCCTGATAAATGGAAGATTGATTCAGTTCATGAAAAAAGAAGAATCTTTGTCTTGTATTTATTCTAGTGTGAGACACAATGCCGTGGTCTAACTGAGATCCAGAAGTAACCGCAGTGTCCTATTTGTTTTTCAATGTAGCTGAATATGTTCAGTAGTAGAACAATTCTTTCAGAAAAGGGTCGGCGAATCCATAGGATGAACGTTACTTGTTTCATGTTAAAGGGTCGAAAAGCTTGTAGGCTTTGTGTGCTTATTAGTTTTGCGATAAGTCTTTTGGTGACAGCGATGAGCGGCAATCTTTCAGATCGTCGCTTTATCCTACTGGTCTGGCGGCTGACATAGTACTGCGGTCGTTATTTATCTGAAATCTGTTGCCTTTTCAAGGTATTTTATGCTAAGGTAAATGTTTACAGGAGCTCACTTCACTTTTTGTTGGGTCAGAACGTCTTCTCTGAGTGCGTCGCTTATGTGCTGCAGGTTCAGTACCAAAAATTTTGATTTGTTTCATATATAATGCACCTTTTTGTCTGCGCGAGTTTTTTGATCGTATGACAGTAGTTCTCACGCGGTCCTGGAGATTTTGTTTCAAGTAGGACTATTCTACGGCTGATGGTTCTGTGCTTGGTTATGCGATCTTCAGACAAATCTCGATTAACACGTTTGCTGTCCGGTCTAAAAGCTTCCAGTTACCTCATAATACTTCCGCTTTTCTTTGGAAACATTACCAAATGTGTTGTCTTGAAACTTGGTTTTCCATTGCAAACGATTTTTATCGCAACTTGAGCCCTTTTGCAGAAGATGCTTTTTCACCTCGATCTTCATCCACCCCTTGTTCGCTGTCAAGATCTGCCATCAGCACCCCCTCGACAACTATGTTTTAAGAAGTTTTGCTGATATCAATATAACTTGACCTTTGATCTGCGACAGACATACATACATATAAACAAATTTCTTTTTTTTTACCACCTTTTGTCCCATGACCCTCCTTGCAGTAGAAGGGAAAAGTGCGGAACTTTTCCTGAGAGTTCTTTCTTTTTTACATTGGCGTTGCATTTTTACGAGCCCTATAAAAATTAGGAATATACAGGTTGAAAGACGAGACAACGCTCTTTCAAATAACAAAAAAATGTTGTTTTCAAAATGGCGTCTTTGAAACAATTCAAAGGATGACATTCTGTCAAATTACTTTTGCATCGTATGTTATATATTGCAGAGCTTTTCAAGCTGCATCTTCTCGTATTGTTTTTTTACTTTGTCAAAACAATCTGTCAAATGAAAAGAAAGTGAAACTAAAAATGTTTCACCTTTTATTTTCTCAAACAACCAGATAGTTGCTGACAGCAACAGCTTCCATCCAAATTTGACTACTATGATACTATTCTCTTTCTCATAGAGAAGAGTCTTAGAAACGTTAATTGTTTGCTTGCTTGTATGTCCGCAGGGTCAAAAAGAAACATCAAAAATCGATTTTTAGGAAAAGGCATTTTCACAGGTGCTTCGATACGGAGACGTCGTATCTGATGTTAGTTTTTTGCGAATTAAAAAAAATTTTGAACCAAAGGGTACCCATTGTCGGAAAAAACATGTATAACCATTTGATATCGGGTATAGTCAAGTGTATAAGTATGGTAAATGAAATATTCTCGTCAATCTCTGGTGACCTAATAGTTAATTATTGAGTTTCATAAACGAACTCTGAAGTAACGTAGCTGTTGTTCATATACACAATAATGCATTAAAACTATGATATCTGAAATAAATATTCCTACGAGAAAGAGCTGAGCGATAGTCTAACGACGAGCGTTACCTGTATGAATAGTAATCAAATAGTTCAGAAAAAGAGAGTTTCGCTCTCCTCTAATCAGATTGTATAGAAAGAAAAGTTCTTGAAGCCTATAGTTTATCATAAATCAAGCTCACTCTACGAACTTTTGGTACATCCTAAGTATGATTACAAGGTAGTATAAACTCCGTTGCACAGATGTTTTCGCTGACTTCCTAGAGGAATCATATCTTGCCTTATCCGGGTAAAGTATGTACGTGTAAATCGTTTGAGTTAGTATATAAATTATAGGCAACAAAAATTCTCTTTCTTGAAATATGTATATCATAAAAGATAATCAATCATATTTTCAATCAGTTGTGTTGACAAAACAACTTTCGTTTAACATTATGATCATCAGAAAATAGTACATTGGAAAAATAGAAGTCATAAATAACCATTTTCATACAAAAACTTCATTGAATAAGCTCATTTCAAGCAGAAATCGAACGAGTGCTTGGAAAGTAGCTGTTTGATCTCTCGTTTCAATCTACTTATTCTGTATATTAAAGAGAAGAAAAAGCAAAAAAATTCTAATAACAATTACTCAGCTTTCTTGATCTACCAGAATTTTATATTACAAGTTTTCCCATATGAAAAAAAGATCCATTCACTAAACAAAATTATTATAATCATTTAACAAAATGAAACTGCAAACTGTATTTCCATTATTTCATTAGAGAAAAAGGCAGACAGACAGAGAAAGAGAATAGTATTTTCCAGAAACATTTTGTCTGTTACTTTCTCTGAAAGATATTTACCCTCTTAAGTTCAAACGAAAATGTTTGTATTAAAACTCTTTTCCTTGATTTTGATTTTACAAATCAATTCCCAAAATATTCGATCATTTCAAATGGCAATATTTAATGATTATCAATTTCAATGTTCAAATACATACTGTTTATCAGATTTCACTTTTATTTCCTTTGATATACGTGATTGTCAATTGAAATGCTTATTTCTAACAGAATGTCAAGCAATTACATTTCATCAAACAAATTCAAGTTGTGAATTATTTCGAAATATATCAAATGAAATAAATTATATGTTAAGAAATACTGATACAATAACAACAATTGTTATTGATGGAACACGTTTCCCTTTTGGTTAGTATGGATTATATTACTACGATTCCTGAGATTCTTGAGGGCGTGGGAGTGGGGTGAGGGTGAATGCGTGGTTCAGGTTGTCTCATAGTTTTTTTATGCACCAGAATATGTCTGAAACCTTATTTAGAGCCGCCTTCCATCGATTTGTTGGTAAGTAATTCCTAAATTCTAGGGAATATTTCCGTGAATTGGCAGTGATGTTTGTGGCGCACTAATGTTTCGTAAAAATCTGTTTAAATTGCTAAGGCAAGTAGTATCTATAATAGTTTTTCAACGCAAAATAATATACTGATCAAAACTCAACTTCTACTGGTGCAAAATAAAGCTTCTGCGGATGAACAAATCAAACTGATTATTTGCAAAAAATGCTGATCGTTTAAATACAACCCTTATATATATCGGGTTTAGAATAACTACTTTGACTGTTATGAGTTTTGTGGAAAATATTTTTGGCCGATCTCCAGAAATCTATCTCACATATGAAATACAAAGAGTTTCCTGAAAATTCCTATAGTTTATCATTTGGACTTAAATATTTCTTTAATATGTTAAACTTGCTTTTCTTAATATTAAAAGTAGGAAATCCAACACCATCAACAATGTCATCATCCACATCCACATCATCCACCTCTACATCATCAACATCCACATCATCAACATCCACATCATCAACATCCACATCATCCACGTCCACATCATCCACCTCTACATCATCCACGTCCACATCATCAACATCCACATCATCCACCTCTACATCATCCACATCCACATCATCCACCTCTACATCATCCACGTCCACATCCACCTCTACATCATCCACGTCCGCATCATCCACCTCTACATCATCCACATCCACATCATCCACGTCCACATCATCCACCTCTACATCATCCACGTCCACATCATCAACATCCACATCATCCACCTCTACATCATCCACATCCACGTCCACATCATCCACCTCTACATCATCCACATCCACGTCCACATCATCCACATCCACATCATCTACGTCTTCGACAACAGCAACATCAGATCCATATTGTAACATCGCATCATGCCGTGAGGTAATTTCACGTTACATTGCACAAAATTGGGCGTACGATACAATAAATTTTGGCCAGTGCACCAATTGTTCTCGAGCGAATTATCCAAATTTTCCCTCTGATTGGCTCAACAGATGGTATATTCAGGATTTTTATGTTTATAATTCAAGTTCAGATTGCGCCGGAAATCCATATATCGGTACTTTAACGTTTTGTCAAACAGCATGTTTGAAGGACATTACATGCGTCGGCTTTTCTAGAGCTAAGAATGCTTTAGATACCAACTCCACTGCGGAATGTTATTTGAAAAATAACCTTACAGTTAGTCAAATATTTAATGATACCAACTGGCACACAGTGGTTTTCAACAGTATAACATAGATTTTCTAAAGAATAAACATAATAAAAGACACTATAATAGTTTGTTCGTTTTCATTATTTGCCTTACTTATCTGCTTCATTTATTTTTATCTGCACCATTTAACTGAAAACTTCACTATTTTGACGTTCGACTGAGAATTCTTTTTTCGGCAATGACAACATGATCATAAATTCTTCATTTAATCTTCACTTTATTCTTGTTAATAATATTTCGCTTTGAGAATTTTGTTCTCTTTCTCGTAGAGAAGACTTCAGTCAACGTTAATTGCCTGCTTGCTTGCTTGATTGTATGTCCGCAGGGTAAAAAAAATCTAATATCGATTTTTTTGGAAGAGGTATTATCAGACGTTCTTCGATGCGGAGACTTCGAATCTGATGTTAGTTTTTTCAATTTTATTAAAAGTATTGTTTAGACAAGGGACCACTTTTTTATGAGAAATTTGTTTTTCTAAAAATTCACCAAATGGTTTTTGGGAGCGGATAACTCGAATCTCAGGTGATTTTTTTAAAATTTTTTCATCGTTCACTTTTTTCAGACAAAATACCGATTTTCAGAAGAAATTTATCTGGCCGTATAATACCGGCTTCAGTTGAGTGTATACGTATGGGAAATAAAATACTCTCTTCAATGTCTGGTAACATAATAATTAATAGTTAATCTTCATGCATGAGCTTTGAAGTAACCCATGTATCAGATAAGAAGACCGAGTTTCTACACGGTCTCTTACCCTTCGTACCCAACATACCTGTACTTCTCACTGATAACACTGCGTGTGAACTAGGGCTTTTGAATGGTACACGAGGAATGTTTTGAGAGCTCATATGCGATGATCAGGAAGGTCCGAACGATTTCAAGATAAAAAGCGAAGTATTTCCCTCAAATACGATTTACATACGAAAACCATTGTATGCGCTCATGGAGATTAATACGTCGCAAGTAGAAACAAATCCTGACGGTCTCCGACCTAAACTAATTCCATTGTTGCTTTTGCGATAATATCTAATCTCTGCTGAAAATAAACATTATATACACAATAATACATTAAAAATGTGACATCTGAAATCAATATCTCTGCGAGAAAGGGCTAAACGTATCTAAAGACGAACATTACTGGCGTTTTGTTGAAAGTGATCGTTGTTGAAGATCCAAAACTCTAATAAAGTCATCTACATCAATGTGAAGCTATCATGAACCAACGACGCGTGTTAGCTTCAATGTTCTCTTAAAAACTGACATGTAAGTTAACTTAAACTTCAATCATTAGATGCCGCTCATGAGTCACGTATTCACTATGATGTAAATATTTCGAAGCATTTATTCTATTTCGAATACAATGATGTTATGGACGAACGCATTTTATCTATATGTCTGCCATATTTTCAAGATGAGGAAATGACGAATTAGGATACACGGAGGTTGATCATACAAAATATTTCACAACACACTTCCTCATTAACGTATTTCGTAGCCAATTAACAAGTTTGTTATATAAAGCACGGTACTTTCCATTCGCATAATATTGCTTTCTAAGTTCATATTTTAACATGTTCGATGTTGCACAATACTACATTTTAACTTAGCAAGCTCATATAAAGGTGATTTGGAACTATGCACAAACATCTTCATGGTTTTATTACCCCGAAGAAACATGTTCTGTCGTTGTTCTTTCTTATGAGTATGAATCATATTGAGGTAATCTCTCGTTTGCTCATTAACAGATATAAAGCATTATTCGCTTATTCTTTAGGTAGTTCTTGAAAATTGGATAACTGATTTCGCGTAATTATCATACTTTTTATTTTGATAGAGGAATTGAATGGAATTTCACTGGTGCATGTAAGTTTCTGATGAACTCGTAGTGGGAACTATTGTTTGTATTTTAGGATTCATCTGATCAATTAAAAAGTCCAGAAGAGATCAGTAAATTAATATACATATTTAAAGTGACAGCAACAGTACCTCCCATTAATTTAACCATTGGTTTTCATATTCATAGGGATTATGCAATGTTTTCTGCATAGATACAACACAGAAAGCAGTCATTTTAGAAGTCATGCGAACATTGGAAAACTCAACAGCAGTTACTGGTGGGCCTTGCGTCACTTTTCGTTAGAAATTCCCAATTGTACTTATAAAGGAATTGTTATGCATGAACTGATACATGTGTTAGGTAGAATATTCTACGTGTTTCTTTCAGTATCCCTTTAGCATTTCACTGTATATATATATATTTAGGCTTTCATCATGAACAATCCCGACCATGCAGATCGTGATAGCTATGTTCAAGTAGTTTGGGACAACATTGTAGTACGGTAATTTTGTTCTATATTGAAAAAAATAGTCAACGACATTTGATTTTTCTTCTTCGTGATTTGAATAGTCATGAAGCCCAATTTCAACAAATGTACTGATGCAGATGTGAACACATTAAATACCCCATATGATTACAAATCAGTCATGCATTATGGAACCAACTACTTCAGTATTAACGGTTCGAAAACATTAGTACCTCTTGACCCAACTGCTGTAATTGGTCAACATGGTAATTTAAGCTCAATAGATATCGAAGAAATTCAAATCTTTTACGGCTGTATTCTTCCTAAAACGGCTACAACGGTAATCAGCACTAGTACTGCTGCTAGCTCTTCTTCTACTACTATGCTATACAAAACAGTTATCTATAAGTGTCTCTTTTTGGTACTTGAAACATTTTTACTAACGAAGATGAATTGTAACTAGGTACGACACGAGCAGAAAAATAGTATCCGTAGTTCAGTCAGATTTTATCGACGGTTTCTTTTTTTCTCAGATTTAGTAACTGGATCAATGTACATCAAGCGGTTCATATTATAATTCATCATGTGTAAAACTATTCACATCATTTCTGATTTAGTCTTTGATGAAACGTGTTGCCAAAACATATATTTTAGTTTCAACAACAGAGCATCAGCAACACTGGTGTTATATTTGGCAGTATTGTTGGTGGAGTTGTTAGTCTTCTGTGTCTGTGTGGTTTCTGTTTTATAATTATTTGCTCTTGGTTTACCTGCTTAAAAGGCACACCATTTCGTTCAAATAAGACCAATGTTCATCAATGATTTCGTACGCAAAATGACCTGAGTGCTCATATTTTGCAATCAAGCTCATTGTCTGCTTTCCTCTACAAATATGAGTCTTGACGTGGGCCACATTATTTGACACTTGGATTCTATCCGGAAGCTGACTATACCGTTCATGGTAAGGTATTTTATTATCTTGGCGCATTCGTTGTCAAAGAAGTCTAGTCACGACGAGCGCTTCGAATGGCCTTTGACAAAGCTTATCAATCAGGATCAGAAAATCATAGTGACTCAATGACAGTTCAAGTCGAATGGAAACCTGGTACGGAAAGTTTTAAAGGAAAATGTCACTTGAGAAGGAACAGACAACATGAAGAACATAAGTATCTGATCCATATTCCATTCTCAAAATACTCTGTGTGAATTAGACGAATAACGAAGGCACAAGTTCAATCTGTAAAAACAATTAGCGTAGAAAAAGAAAATTTTTGTATTTTTTCTACAAATTCTTCTTAATACAATAGAAATCGACATTAGCTTTATTTTCCTATTGGATCTGTGTTCAATTATGAGTTATTGTAGAATAATAATACATGATAATTACCTTCGTCAGGCAGATCCTCTCACGCATATGATAATTAGTTATGAACAGAATGTTTAGAAAACATTAAGTACTTTCATAGTCCATTCTTTGAAAATCATGATCAATTCTATAGAAAATTTCATAAGTAATATCAATTAAATAGAGCGAAACTTTTTTTCTCACAAATTTCTCTCGTTAATATCTTCTTTTTTTGTATCAAAAAGAAAAGCATAAGGAATTATACATACACAAACATCGATGCACAAAGAAGAATAAATACGGAACAGAAAAAAAAGAAGAAGAAGAAGAGACAAAGTAAATTTACAGTTGCACTTTCATATTCAAATCTTGTATATTGGACATTGAAGAATAATTCGATGATGTTGCTTGTTGTATGTTATTATCAGTTTGCAAGTAATTTGCATCGTTGGGTATTACTGTTCTTTGATTAATCGTTAGATTACATTGCACATTCTTCTCGAATGATATGGGTTTGTTTTGTTTTAGATTATACGACACATTTGTTGTACTTGTATGGATGTTTAAATGACCATTTAGAAGAGTTTTTGATAGATCAGCGTCGAGTGGATCGCTCTTCTTTCTTTTGATACTGAAATGTCTTTTAAAACTCGGAAAGTGATGATGTTCATCATACGGTTGATCTGTTTGACGGTTAAGTCCATTGATTTGTTGATGTGTCTGTTGTTGTTGTTGCTGCTGCTGTTCTTGTTGTTCCTGCTGATCTGGTTGATCTTGATCCTCATTGCCACCACCTCCACCATGTTCCGATAAAAACCGGCGCACGCGACGAAATGCATGGTTACGCTCAGCAAACGTCTGATTCAGAAAATAGTTACAATGCGCAATTGTAAATGCTTCTTTAAGAAAAACGATCGATGTCAATGAATAAAGAAAAAAGTTCAATGTATAATTCAAATTTCTGATTGTTAGTGCGATGTAACGAAAGCCAATATTGATTATATTAACCTTCAAGTTCAATTTCACACTGCCGATTGCTGTTGAAAATAACCAGTACCAACAGACTTGGTACGGCATTGTGAACGTTATGAATGAAAATGATACAGCGATTAACATAACACTTATGTGAATACGTCTTGAGCCACGTGTACGTATACGATTCCGTAGTTTATGTACTGTGATTATACTTAAAGTTAGAATAAGTATTGATGGTAGAACGTAGATGAAAAAGATTTGTATTGAACCAATGATTTGGTATGTTTTAGAAAAGAATAGAAGGCAATCGTCAACTTTCGATGCAACGATAGCAAGACCGAGTGGAGCTATAATAGCGACGAGAAAAACACTGAAAACAATAGTCCATGCTTGCTGACGGTTGAAGTTCGTTCGAATTAGAAATGGTTTGGTCACGGATAGATAACGTTCAACAGCAATCATTAATATCAGCCAAGAATTTATCGACGAACCAACCAAGTCAATATAAACATGAAATGCACAGAGAAAACGCGACCCGGTGACTACAAAACCAATGAAAACTTTGTGATTCAACCATTGCATGGTAACTGGACCAGCAAGGATGAGAATATTAGTTAGCGATAGCATTGCCATGAAGACGGAAACGGGGTACCGACGCATTCGTTTACGAAGAAAGATAATCATAGATAACGCATGAGTTGGAATTCCTTCAAAATAGAGAAAAACGTCTTTTTCTATGAATAATCTTCAATTGAAAATACCTTACCAATGATAATTAAAATTGGATTCGCATAGAGAAAGACTTCATCTGTGATATAGTAGAACTTGGTATAGGCTCGATAATGTTCCCAGTCATCGGCAAGACTTCCGTTAATATCATCATTGTTGTTTATGGTCGTCGTTGAAATATCTGATAAAGATATCGTCGAATTCATTTCAACTCGTGAATAGGAGTGAGACGTTTGCTTTTTTTATTAAAAAGAATTTCATCTACAAAACAGATTCTTATCTCTGACAAAGATATGATCAACTAATCTAATTTATCTTATTTTATTATGAACACGTCAATGACATATTCATGAAAGGTAGACGCAAATGTCAACTGTTATTGTGTAGGAAATTGAAGATCTGAACACAAAATAATGTTCAATCATACGAGATTTTCTTGGAACAATAATTCACAACTTGTCATACTCATGGACGTTTTTGCCGAAATAGTTTTAACAAGACGAGAGAGAAACACAGACAGACAGACAGACAGGCAGACGTTCTAATTCACTGATAAGTAGAGGAAGACCTCATAGGAACAGATGGTTTCTAATATCTTACTTCTGCGTACGTTTAATTGCTCTGCTTTTCAAGAATCGCTTATCGGTATGTGAGAAAGTTCATATTGAGAAACACAAAGGAATTCCTTGCTTCACACTGATAGAAAACCTCTCCACAGCAACGATTTCTGTTGTAGTTGTTGTTGTTGTTGTCTACATGAAAAACGAGAGATCGATGGCATAAGAGAAAGAAAGAAAAAAACGAGAGACTACAGCCGACAGCTGACATAGTTTGGCTCATCTTTCGTCCATCTTTCTTCTTCTTTTTTTTTTGTTTGGTATATGTATGTGCAAACATTGATGATGTTGTGCATTTTTTGCCTTCGTTAGATCGTTTATCTTTTTTTCCTTTTTATATTCACTGATTTTCATATGGAAAAAAGGAGAAGAGAATGAGAGAGAGAGAGAGAGAGAGAGAGAAAGAGAAGGCATAGCATGTCAGTGGGTTGAATCTGACTATTCTAGCTATATCATGCTGAACTACGTAAATCGTTAATGAATAAGTAACATGCGGAAGGAGATATCGGTGAACAACGACATATTCAGTTGACACGTATATGATTTGACTTGCTCTAATCTCTACTGTTGTGATCTTGTATTGGACTAAAGATTTTTCTTTTCTTAATCAGATAAAAATAATGAATGGAAGCCTTCTTCTTCTTTTCCTTCTTTTCTTTTTGCCGTGATAAATAAGAACATACTCAAAAAATTGAGAATAGGACTGAAAAAGAACATATGGAATTGTCTTTCATATGAAACTCAATTAAGAAGAAGAGAGATATCGTCTTACATAGATAGAAATTCATTTCGTATTTCTGAATTGATTATCTCTGAACTATTGTTGTTTTGTTTCACATCAAAGCTTTTGGCATTGAGCTATCAAGAGTATTTCAAGGTTTTAAGCCAAAATACACATATAAACATAAACAAGCTATAGACTCGACTAGAACGGAACAATTCAAGTCGCCTGGAATCCCATGAAGGCTTGCGTGTATTTCCGACTTTTCTCTTTCTATTCTCTTCGCGATTTCTAATGACATTATTGTCTACAAATATAGAATACTTTCTCAACTAATATGATCCGACGTTAGAATCACTTGAATTTTAAGTACACAAAAATGAATTTCTACTCCACTAGCTCAGGGACAAAAGAACATTTCGAAAAATACTTTTGCACCCAGACAGAAATATGTTGCGAGGAAGAAAAAAAACATTGACCATGGAATGCAACAGATGTTATCAATCAAAATCTAAATGCACATATAGATGAGGCTAGGTAAGATGAGAAACCCTCATGCAGCTTTTCCTTTTCTAACATTCTCGAGCAGTGATGATTTCAAAAAGGAAGTAATGTGTTTTGTCAATATTTTGACTTTATATACATTTATCACACTTTGATGTGATCGATGAATGTCGTCCGAGGTTTTCGGGGATAATGTACTTCCTTTTGATCACTAAAAGTGTTTCTCAAATCTAATCTTCTTTCATTTGTTTTATATTGCCCTTGAAACTGAACGTGCTAAAGAGCATCATTGTAAAATGACAGGTTTGTTGACAAGCGCGTGCTTATTTTAATAAAGGGAATACTTGTTTCTTTATTTCCCGTTCGAATGACGAAAAAAAAAGAAAGATTTAATTGATTCTCATTTGACTGCATATTTATATAAAAATCGTTTGATTTCCGAAGGATTTCGCGTGATGATTTCATTCGGAAATCGAATTATCAAGTTACTAGTGCCTATAACATATATGAATATATTATAGTCATTATCAGTTGTAAAATGGCGTCGTTGAACAAGAAAGATGATGCTTGAAAAACATGTTATCTGATTAGACTATCGATCATTTTCTTTTTCTCTTCTATATGTCTTACTCCCTTGTCAGTTCGCTTTCGGACTATATTACTATTCTCCATCTTATTCGTCATTCTTTTGATGAACACATCGAAAGTAATCGACGCGCAATAATAACATTTCACAGAAGGATAAAAATAGATTAAAACAACAACAACAACAAAACTATCGGTGATATATAGTGAATACATCTTATTTCACTGTATAGATTTATCTTAATCAAAAATCATTCATCTCATAAGATATGTGTTCCCGCGGTTTTTTTTTTGTTGTCGAGGGTTAACTTACTTTAGTATCTAAAATCGATAGGATACAGAGCATGACAAAAGACAAACGAATGTATTCATTGTAGAAAAGAATGCCAATAGGAAGAATGACTCTCTCGTTCATTACGATACTCCTGTCTTGCGGGAATTGTTTTCGCTCGTTCTCGTGCTCGTACGCATTAACGTTCTGTTTTTTTACGATTAGCAAACAAAAATAATAGAAACATGAAAACAATAGTTCACTAAACAAGGATACTCTAGTAATTGACATGATTTCAAATCTGTGAATTAATATTTGCTAAGAACTTACTGGAAATTGCTTTATCATCAACACTAATGCTCATAGAGAGACAACATTCCTGAAATACGAGTCTCATGTCATTGTAATCGATCCATTCTTGTCTCTGCTTAAAACGAGACATGTTGGTTGCAAGTCTTACCTGATTGATTAAGCCAGATAAAGGAGTACAACATCAAGTCCAGAAAATGATAAACATTATCTTAATTTAGATTGTCTCATGTTTGTATAGACTCCTTTAAGTATTACTTGAAATAGAAGTAACTACTAAGAATAATTAGAAACTCAACTGTCTATTTATAATAATTTCAAGAATCACGAAGCATTTTGTCAGAAAAATTTTCAATTTGTCACTCATCTGATTTTGACATGGAACCACGTCGATAAAATGTGAGTGTAATATCTTCTTCCAATTTCAGTCTCCGGCAAGCTTTGACTGACAGATTTTTCTCAAGGTGAATATTTGAAAACAATGAAGTACACACTGGTGTACTTTATATCACTAATTTGTATTTGGGTACTCATTACTCAACAATTTAAGCACGGCGAAATATTTTTTTTCTATTTCTAGCTTAAAAGGTGCTATTTTCTGCTTCTTTTAACGTCAAGTGTGTGTCACAACTGTGAATCGTTTGATTCAATAGAAAATCATATTTTGAAAATGTCAGGCACTTTTCGAAAACTCACTCGGAGTAAGTTTGAAGATTTACATTCGAGTGATGAATTGTTTTAAATATGGAACATGGATCTCATTAGGAAAAAGTGAGAAGGAAAACTTCCCATGAGTATTCATGTCTCAATTTCAAGTTAGCTGATAATGATAAAATGTTCTTGGTAATCGATGGCAAATGATAATATGAAAAGCGAAGGTTTTTCTCGAGCGAATTGAAACTTTCTAAAGCTTCTTTTCTGTGTTGGTACTTACTGAAATTAACTTCTATGTTATTTATTTTCATATTGAAATAACTGATCACCGCAGGTACTTTTGTCTAGAAGAAAATGTTGTGTATCGACGTAAGTACTCTCAGTATATTGTGAGAATCATTGACATCTGTTTACCAGTGGTTAAATATTATCAAATTTGATGACCTTTCTCGAATAGAATCTTGTCATTCACTGGATATGCGCATCTCCACACACATGACTTAGCATTTAGAAACGAAGTCAATAGCGCCGAAAGTAATGGAAGCTCATTAAAGAACTATGTCATGTCATAACATCTTATTAATAATAAAAATCGTATAAATATGTGATTCAATAAATTTCACAGGCCAGAGAACTGAATAAACTACTGTTATAATTGTTATTTTAGGGATGGAATAACACTTACCTGTGATCATCGATGATATTTACAGTTTGTCTCGATATTCACTTACCAGTGTGATCATTTCACATGAACTCAATATATTCGCAAACGAGAGAAATAAGTATATATATACAGGAAAACTCAAATGACTCGAGAGCAATTACAGAAAATGTTTCTTCAAGAATGGAGAAAGCACCTTCCGTCACGATTGTCAGTCGAGTGTGGTACGCAGTTTCCATCCTCGTCATACAGAAACTTACTGACGTTTCACTGATATGCGCTAGTAAGTTCTCTTTCTACTCAATATCTCACATAGAAGAGGAACGTTCGTATAATCAAAAATGGCACCTAACTTAACTATACCTGAATGCGCATATGACGGTACGCGTGAACACATGGTGATTCTTCGCGTATATTCATGCATGAAAAATTACAAAGATGAAAACGAGTCGAACTACGAAAAAAACTTCTCGAATATCCAATTTGTGTAGGTTGTCTGGTAAGATGAAGAAATGTCACAAGTCACTGTCATATTTTTGCATCTTTAGTGAGATTTGTCAGGAGAATTTCAGAATGGCGCTGATCAAATCTTTAGAGAATGATCGTATGTGATGACTTTGCTAAAATATAACTTGAAATAAACGATTATTCATAGAACCATTTCATATTTGTTTGTCGATCATCAAACATTGAACTTTCTCGATTCATTTATTCTCACCGTCATGAATTGCATTGATGCCATCATCTATTTTTTATTGTTTACAAAAAAGGGAAAAAAATGTCATATCCGACTTTAAAAAATAGAGTTGATTGATTGTATCACTCATGTTGAACGAATGGATTCGGAATTTCCTCCATGCCATCTAATGGACATATGAGAACAACTGATGTACCTCGACAGATAACCAATCCTAACTGGCGTGTATCCTCACTGATTTTGTATTCATCATCCGGATCACGTAAATATTCAATTGTTTGATCGAGTACTAAGTTTAATAGTTGATCATAACCTAAAGAAGATCTTTGAGTGAGAAGGAAGGCATTTTTCGGTTTGTTTTCCTTACCTTTCAACATTCCACTACATTCACGACCACCGTTGAATTTCACTCGAATTCGTTTATCTAGATATTTATTCAAGTCGACGATGTTTTCCTTTCTGCGACCGATATTATCAGCCATCTGAAGAATGAAAAGAAACGAAAGAATATTTTGTTTAGTTATCGGATAGAATTGATGTTGGCGTTTTTATTTCAATCTATATTTCTTTCTTTTTCTTCTTCTTCACGCTCGTATATCGCGTGCTCAAAAACAACAACAACAAGAACAAAAAGATTTTCTCTTTTAAGCCACGAATTGGTAAGGAATTGGTTCGACAATTTGTGGTTTATTGCCGCGTGTTCGGACCAAATGTTGTTTGCGTGGACCTTGAGGCTAAATAACAACGATGAACTATGGAACTAGCAAGCACTGGTGACGTACCTGTCGTTTGAGGCTTGAAGCTGGTACAGGTTTGCCTGATTCTTTTGCTGCTCGTTTCAATTGTTCACTTTGTTTGACACGATTGAGAAAATCAGAACGACATTTTGAATGTTTAACTAAGTAAAAAGAGAACAAGAATTGGATTATTTCCGAGACAATATCAAATGTATAACTTACTATGTTCAATACGAACGTTGATTCGTTTGGCGATGATACGATGACTGAAATGAGAAAGATAATCGTTTTTTCAATCGCGATCAAATAATCCATACCGAACACGTTTGTTAACGATAATACCGACAGCATGTCGAGTTACATTGAAAACACGACCTGTTTTACCGTGATAGAATCGATGTGGCATACCTTTTTGTACAGCACCATTGCCCTAAAACAATTTCAAATACTCCATACTGATGTGAAAGTTGTCAATCGAAACAAAGCATACTTTAATGTCGACAATGTCACCGCGTTTGAAGATTTTCATATAGGTAGCCAAAGGAATTCGTCCATTTTTCTTGAAATCTCGCGAGAACAAATGGCGAGTACCACGACGATAACCTTTTGGATTTGTCATTCTAGCAACGGTACTGACGAGCTAATGATATTACTCTGCAAGAAAATTTTACAAAATTAGTTCTGTGAGTTAAGAAGTTCAGAAAGAACGATGGATTTGAAGAAAATGAAAGAAATCCACACAATCCAATAATAAGCAACAAAAAATAATCAACAGAAGGAAAGAACCTCCACTCTACATTTACAAATTTTCGTCGTCGTCGATAGGCATATTCATTTTACCAATGGACAAGCAAAGATGTCGAGTATCGCACTTCGCGACATCTACCGACGTTCTTAGATTAGTTACGTTATAAATAGAATTTCAATAATACTTGGGAGTTTTAATTAGAAAAACATGACCGTAATTCTAAAAATAGACAAACTTGTTGTTCACATGATAGCAGCATCATGTCCCCGATTAATCTAAGGATTATTCTGATTAATTAATTGGAATCCCATTTCTTATTGCTCTTATTATATATTCTTCGAGATAAAGTTTGTCCTTTTCTATTGTCGTATGTCGTAAAATTGACAGCTATACTTTTGCTCTCGGATGCAGAACAAAAGTACTCGTCTACCTCTTGCATAACCATACCTTCGTCATTGATTTTCGAACTGAATCACACGACAATATGAGCAACATATTCAGTACGATTTTACATTTTTATTAGTCGAAGATGTTTCACTGTCTTTCTCCTTAGCTAAATCTCTATCCGGTAATGATGCCGACTACTCACACGATGGTGGTGTAATTGCGGCGATTTTCATTGCCCTTCTATCTTTTATTTTTACTTGCTGCATCAATGGATTCGCGTCGACTGGACCGAATAGTGCGTTTGAGAGAAAGTTTTGAGGCTTAATATATTCTTTTCATCTTTAAAAGAGATCTTCAGACAGTCGACTGCACGGATTAGTGATGAAAATCCGACGGAATTCACACCAGCTGGTCCGACATTTTCTCTCTGGGGTTTGATCTATTCTTGGCAGGTAAGATTCTACCTAATGAATTCAAGCGATTTCTACTCAAATTTGTCTTAATTAGTTGGCTTTTCTCGCGTATTCGATTGTTAATATCTGGCGAACGACTAGCATCGGTTATTTGTACAATCATCCTTATACATTGCATGTAGCTATTTTCGTTCTCTTCATTGTCAACATGCTTCTCAACGCCTTGTGGTTATTTCTCTGGGATCGATTGAAATTTGGAGTATGATTGATGTTTGATCTATTTCTATAAGAAAGATTCTTTTGTAGTTGTCGACTATTGTAATTTATGCCATGCTAGCCACAATAGTAGCTGCAACGGTACTGGACCATGTTTTTCTTTGGAACAATCGCTGGGATTATATTCAACTGGATAAGTAAAAGAGTTTTTCTTCTAAGAAGGATATTTCCGATAGTTTATCTTTAGAACTAGCGATATTTGGATAATGCGTTTTATCGTTTTAAATGGCCATGCAGTTTATTCAGCTTGGTTACTTGTTGCTGCATCACTGAATTTTACAATATGGTTAAAGAAGAAACTTCCGCTGAATGGTGAAGGATGGGCGACAACAATATCATTGATCTTTGTAGCCATTGGCATTTGTGTCTATTGGATTTTGGAAAATTTCGTCTTTCCTTCTCAAATGGCTTATACTTGGTCTCCATGGTTAGTTTGGTTGGTTGCGTTGATCGGTATTCTCGCAAAACATTGGCGATTATTGAAAGAGAAATCTCTCAATCAGATCTTAATTGTCATAATATCTGTTTTGTGTGTGATTTTGTTTTCTGTGAAGATTATTCTATTTGCTGTGAGATACACTCGACAAGAAATACCAACAGGTGATCATCCTGCTGGATTTTGATTGAATAAATAAATAAACCAGCATAGAACGAACAAAAACAAAATAACGCGTTTAGTTTCTTTTCTTTTACTTTGTTTATCATATCAGATAGTATGTCGCTTTTACCAAAATACGCTGCTTATGCATTAAACTCATCATCAAACAACTCAAATCGGCATACAGTCGAATTGTACCTTGATTTGGTTTGTCCATTCAGTGCTCGTCTTTGGTCAACTGTCGTCGTCGACAATAAACTTCCCGAAAAATTTCAATCGCAAATTCAATTTATATTCCGTCATCAAATTCAACCATGGCATATTCAGTCGACACTCGTCCATACTGTTATAATGGCTGTCGCTCGAGAATATCCCGCACAACTCTTTGATGCGATAACTGCTTTATTCAAACGACAACGTGAACTATTCGATGAACATATTGAAGATAAATCTCAAGTGGAAATTTATCAAAAGATCTTATCGATCCTGCAGGAAGAAACGCAGATTCAACTTGATCTCGAACAATTTCGCATCAAACGAACAGAAGCCAATGCTGGAAATGCTCTGACAACCGATGTGAAATATCACATCAAATATGCAAGAAAACACGCAGTTCACGTTTCTCCAACTGTCTTTATTGATGGATTAGAAGATTCAGAAATCAGTTCCAGTTGGACCAACGAACAATGGACAAAATATCTTGAGAAACTTCAATAAATCTACTTTTTAATATTTTAATAAAGGAAAACAGCGATCAACTTCGTTTGATATACACATCTGGTATTTGTTGACTTTCGATTCTGTCTCTTTTTTTCTTCTATCGAAGTATTATACATCAGTTGAGCTCACTCATTTGATACATTACTCGCTCCCTTTTTCTTTTTCTTTCTTACTTCACCTTTTACTCTCCTCTACGTCTACGGTTGAGCTCTATTGCATAGTTGCCCGTTGTCATAGAGAGTCGTACTTCTAATACGTCATTCAAACTTAGATCAGTGTATTCAAATAATGGAAGACGGTCACAAAGTCGTCAAAATCATGTCCGCGACCTCATTTGCTTCGGAAATTATGCTGGTTCTCATGGGATTAAGTGGAATAGCAGTCGTCGGTGTTCATATTGGGTATTTTTCGACTTTACCGTATTTACTCATTGGTCTCGGTTTGTTCTTTGGTTCATTCGCAACAGTTTTCTGTATGCTTGGAATTTATGTCCTTCTTTATCAAGACTATCGTCAATTGAAAGTCTTAACTACGTTCCTAACGATCTTTCTTGGCCTTCAATTAGCCTCAATTATTCATTTATACGTCTTTACTAATAATATGAATTCAACCGAGCAAAACCAAGGTTCAATCATATCATTAGATGTTTGCTTTGGATCAAGTGCATGTGCTTTAGTGGCGCTTATCCTTCATTTGAAGCAAAAAGGATCAACAATCGAAATGGTCAAATTGTAACTCCAATAGGCTCTCTTCTATTAAGTATACCTCATTTAACTTTTGTCTTCTTAGTCGATGTTGTCTACTGTATTAGATTATCTTGTAGTTTTCGTGCAAAGTGATCATAAAGCTCTTTTTCTGTTGCATTCAGATCAATGTTCAGTGATAACCTTCGTGATGAAAGTTCAATAGTTAATTGGTTTTATTCGAAAAGGAAGAACGAAGAAAGTTGAAGGACTCTTGATCAATCTCTTGTTACTGAAAGTATCAGAATGATTATTCATGCGTTTTTAATGCCATCAGTTGTGTCAAGGTTACAACATGATAATTTCGTTTTTGTATTTTTGGCAAAAGTCTTTTCAATGTTTCGATTGTTGCATATCGATCGTGTAAAATCACAATAGCACCGGGATATAGTTTACGTTCGATAAAACATGAATTTAAGTGCGGTCGAGGTATTTGTGGATCATGCGGATAGATTGAGCCCAAAGCCAATCGATAGCCAAGTCGATGACAAAGCTGAATCATCGTTCGATTAAAAAATCCGGAACCCGGTCGATACCATCTGTTTGTCGAGATGGTGTAGTGATTTATTAGCTTTTGGGTATCAACTATTTGCTGTTCAAGTTCCGCTTGGGATAAACGAACGGCTTTTTCATCACGCCAACCATGATTGCTCACTTCATGACCATCGGCGATGACACGCTCGAATAAAATTCGTATCTCCGGCGAATCTTCATACTGTTCAATATGTGATCCGATGGTGAAAAATGTACACCGAGCGCTGTACGAACGAAGGGTTTCGAGTATTCGGAAACTGATGGAAAGATCATGGAGATTCGGAAAATCATCGATAGTCAATGCAACGTATCGTAAATTAGACGGTAAATCAATCGAAAACAGAACATCGGGGTACAGTTTGGAAAGAAAACCAATAAGGCATCGTGGTGGCGAATAGACAATAAACAGGACTACAATAAAAAGAATCAAACAAATCAGCAAGGGTATAGTTATAGGATACTGTTGAAGACAATTCAACACCGAATCGATCATATAATGAAGTATCTAAATAGAGATAGACAAAATGAAAGTTATATCGATCTAGTTTATTGTCAATAATATTTATTCGAAAAATATAAACGATTTTGTCGGTAGAAAAGAAAACACGATTAACTACATCGTGTTTATTCCGCAGGTGTTGGATTTAATTCTGTATCGACGATTGTCGATAGTGTTGGTTTTACAAAGATTTTCTTCGCCATATTAATTTCATAGAATAGTTCGATATCTGCAAATGATGTTGCTCGATTCGCAGATGAATGTTCAGAACGAAATGTCTCTGCTGCAGCTGCTGCTGTCGTCGTCGTCGTTGTAGTTGTTGGATGATTCCTTCGCATTGCTTGCGCTGTTCGAGAATCGGCAAGTACAACCTCTTCCGCTGTATCACTAATGATAAACTAGAAAAATAACGAATCAAACAACAAAGATTCTCTTTAATGGATGAAAAAAACCATACTCGATAAACGTATGTATTGAATTTTTGGCCGAGACGGCGAACACGAGCGATGGCTTGCAACTCCACTGATCGATGAAGTTGAGGCTCCACAAGAATAACATGTTGAGCTTCCGTTAGGTTAAGACCATTGGCTCCTGAACAACGTAAGAGATGACGTGTACGAAAGGAACTAGATCGAAGAATTTACCTTTTCCAAGTGGCATTAGAAGAACACTGATGCTTGGATCTTGGCGAAACTGTTGAAGAATTTTTGTTGATGTGAAATGTAGATGTGATATGGCGTTCAATTTCAATGAAGTCGCTAGAACATTGAGCACATCGGTGAATTGCGAAAAGACAAGAATTTTCACGGGAGGCTTAAACTCATTGGTCACTGTCGTGACTGGTGCACTATTTGCTGACTGTTGAAGATCATCATTCAACAGATTAAGAATGAATGAAACAATCGAGTCGACCTTCGTTCCATAGCGTCCTTGGATAGTCAATTTTTCTTGTGTTTCCATCAAACGACGTATTCGTGGAGACGTAATACTATCTGTAACACAGTTTTCAGTGAATGATTTCTGTGCCGATGCATTCTGATCTTTCCATTTCAGAACAGTCAATGAATTCACAGGAATATCTCGTCGGCCTAAAAGGTACTTATTAATGGAAACAAAGTCCCCAAAAAGATTGGAAACTTACAGATTGGACATTTGATACGTGAACGATTGGGTTGCTGACCTGTGACATGTTTTTTCCATTGTAATGAACATTCTCGGCAAAAGAAGTGTCCACAGAGAAAAAAGCAAACATCAGGTCGATCATCACCGAACAGTTCATGGCACATTGGACATTTTGTTCGCTGATTTGATACAAGATTCGTCGTTGTTATCGAGCGATAATAATCCTGTTGTTGTTCTTGAAAATAATGAAATTGCTGTCGATGTTTAATCACTTTCTTCAAATAGTCTAGCGCCTGTTGTTCAAAATCATGACGCTCATCTTCGATCAATTCTGCATTGAAACGATAACGATTGAGGAACTTCCTCGGACGATTTTTGATATCGCCAACATAAAATTCTAAACGTGAAGTACATTGAAGCATTTCGTCTAACGACAAATACAAATGTTTTAATTGTTGAGAATACGCTCGTGCCGATGTGTTCTCCAATCGAAGCTTTTTCAGTAGATCATTCCAATCTGTTCGTAATAACTTCGCTAATTGACGCGTGGAGTCATGTGAACGCATGGACACTTTCGAAAGAATTTCGTTGATATAATAGATAACATATGCGCCGCCATCTTCGTTGATTTGTTTCTCAGAATATAATTCGGGTTGAAGACTTGAAAAAATGATTCTTTTCGAAAATCAATCACAAAGTTGAACGATTTACCTGCAATTGTAACTTTTCATTACTACTTCACACTCGCAAAAGATGCAAATATATTCATTCGCTGGATCATTATCGAAACCGCATTTTGAACATGAACTCATCTTTGCGACATCATTATCATTCGGCGTGCGTTTCAACGCGTCGATATGTATCAATAGATTCTCTCGAATTCTCTGTAATTTATCGAATTCTTCAACTAATGCAAGTAAAAATCCATTCCAAGTTGTAAATGGTAAACGCCGTTCTCGATTAACATGATAGTGTATATCCAGTTTATCATTTTCGATGGGTTTGATGTGTGTGGAAATATCTTCTAGCAAAGCTTTAATTCCACTCTTCACGTCTTTTTTAGTTAGTAATTTCTCGTTGAACGTCTTCCATGCTTCACTCATTTCGTGTTCAGACTGCGTTTGATGTCGCTGTTTGATCTTGTTGAATTCATCGAAGGCTTCCGCACTGGTGAATTTACTGAAGAAAACAAACAAAAGTTATTCTTCTCATGTGGCAAATCATAGTGACATTACCTGCAAACATTGGTAAGTTCGGCTGCTAATTTGATCGAATGCGAGAGATTGTAATAAGCATGAGCTAATTGAAATGAATCGGCATGAAATGGTTCTTTATAACTTTCCGCTATTTCAATCACTCGTTCATAAGTTCGAACGACCATTTGAATGTAATGTTGATCATTTTTATTATTATTGTCGGCGATTGGTCGAGTTGCCTCATGCTGATATTGAATGAGATATAATCCAGCGAGACCATTGAAATTCAACAGAGAAAGTCGAAGACAATCCTCTCCACTTTCCAATTCACGTGCTGTTAATAAATCAAGCAAATCTTTCATTGTGAATGGTTGATCATCTTTAGTTAACGGCGCCGTTGTTTCTAAGGAATTATTCGAATGGCGAATGGAAAAATTTCGGTTTGATGAATAATGGAAACGATTGTAATAATGAACTAATGCTGGATCATTATGACTACGTAATGTCAAGGTAAGATCAAATTGAATGAGAAGAAAAATTTACCGGACACCATAAGCACCGACTTGAGGATGATCGCATAGACAGCGGAGTTTTATCAATGGAGTTTGCAGACAACTGCGTGCAGTAGATGAGAGAAAATGAATATCGTTCATATCGATTTCGTTACTCGATTCGAAAGTCCATGTGACAAATTCATCGGGCAAAACGCCACCTGAATAAATAAATTTCAGAGAAATCTGTGAGATTCAATTCTGAGGATATTTACCATTTCCGTCGCGCTCTCGTTTTTGCCATAGATGTTGAAATTCTCGCTTAAATTCATCTCGACATTCGTTCCATATTCGATCGTAATAGGTTCTTTCAAGTTCAGAGAATTGCAAACGTATAACACGTTCTAAAAATATTTCGAGACAACAGTTTCTATCCAGCACAAAATCTTTCAGTGTAAAGAATTACCATATTGTTCAGGTAAGTCGTTCAAACATTGATGAGAAGTCCGCCGAGTGATTAATTTCAAGAAATCCATCACCCATGAAAGAAATACTTCATGGACTTTATCTTTCATTCGTAGTAGTGTGGACATTTGATCACGTGGTGTATCAATCGAAGGAAATAAATACTGAACTATGCCTTCGAGATCATTGATTGAACGATGAAACGGTGTACCCGTGACAAACCTAAATTCAATCGAAAGAATTGAAGATTTGAAAGCCCGAGAACGTCTACCATCGATGATGTGCCACAAGTGACCGAGCCATGATCGACGTCGGAGCTTTTGGTGTGTCAACCCTATTGAAATTTTCGAAAGGCTCAACTAGTTTTGATTTCCAAAAGAGAGTAACTTACATTTGAGCTTCGTCTAGTACTAAAATCGAAAAAAGATAAGAGAGTGAGAATGACAGTGGACTAAGAATGAAACAAAACGAACCTAAACGCCAAAATTTCATCCGTAATAGCGGACTAATTAAATATTCGTATTTTCGTACTTGTGTTCGTGTTGAATGAAGTTCTTGTGAACAAGCTTCATTATGATGAATATCTTTGCGTAGATTCTCATATGAGCAGAAGATAAAGTCTTGTTTGGCAAGATAGTGTCGATCGGGTATGGGAATTTTATTTACAACACCTTCGTACATATAAATATCCAAAGAATAGTCTAAATGTTTGGAGATTTCTTCAATCCATTGGTCAATAATCGCTCCTGGAGCAATAATTAACGTGGCTTTCGTCGGTAATAATTCACTCGCGTTTGATAAACGCTGTTCACAGTACGGACAAAGGAATGCTTCCTTTTCTTCTCGAATAAAACACTTCTTGTGTATATAACGGGAACATTGAGTGCAAATAAGGATAGAATCTGCTTTTAGGTTGGAATTTCGCTTCGCAATTTTACCACAGAGACACGGTAAATCCACAGGATCATCCAATTTGAATTTCTTACACTTAACTGATCCTTCTTCTTCGTCGTCGTTGACTGGTTGAGTAATATTTTCTTTCAGAAAATCTTCTGGACATAGATTCAAAAGTGAAGTTAACAATACGCACATTGTCTTTCCCAAACCCATCTCATCGCAAAGTATACCACCGGACAACGGAAATTTCTCTTGATTGTATCGACTATTCATTTCATCATTATGTAGTACAACTCCATCGATAATATGAACGTAAAATGATTTATCTAATAGATCACGACAACAGTGCAGTGGAGTATAGACATTTGTAGATGAAAACTCTCGTTCACGTTTGAGCATCCAATGAACTAGACAAAAATGAAGGAGATTTTCAAAAGGAGAAAAGCTAGAAATCTTACTTGATTTAACTTGGTGATCTTTCAGTTTAATAACGTCATTTTTTAAAAATGAAGTTAGTAGAGGTAATGACATATGTTCATCGATGCTGAGCATCGTCGTTGCTTGAATTTCTTGATAGATGAAATCAATGATATTCATGGCTTTGGTGTCCGTATCATTCAAATGAGAAATTGATTGATAGTCGTCAAATTGGAACAAGTGTTTGAAAAATCGGTTGGTTTTCTCATTTTGTTTGCAAGATTTATAAAAAACGAATAAATTGAAATTTCCCTTGGAAATTGACGAATAATTTAAAGTTAATGTACATTCTTTTGCTGAGTAATACACTTGTAACCGTTCATTTTTGATTAAATCGTACAACCATTTCAATGGATGAGTCACGGTTTTTAAATAAGCAATCTCTTCCTCGTCACAAGTCGAGAAAACAAATGGATCACGAAGAAAGATTTGTTCAGTGGTTGAATTTACATCCCAGTGTTCAGAATAAAGTTCCGCTAAACAAAGAGAATGATCATCAATGGGATGAATGTCATTGTCAATGTATGGTAATGGATTCGTTTTAATGCCATCGTAGGTCAATTGAGGGTCGATTTGACGATCACGAAGTTGGTAGGATTTACTTCGGCGATGGTGAGGCATTTGACTAGAAGCTGTTCACCTTTTCGCTTCGAGAACGACAAATAGTAAGTAGCGTATTTCTCGCGAGAATTCTCATTGGTGGAAATATTGATCAGTCAGAAACATACGGTATACTTGTCAAACAAAAGACATCAAATAAAGCTTTTCAGATAATGAAAATCGAAAAATATGACTTTGCCTTATCTTTTTTTGATTTTTGATGTTCAAAAGCAACATCTTTCGTATTTGCTTCGCGACACTGTCGCCTACAGTTTGACAAATCGGTATAAACACGAAATAATAACGACCGTGCGATATTCTTATGTTCAAGCACGAGTTTCCTTTTTCCCTTCATCTTCGACATACACAAGAAAAGCTGCGATTACGATATGAGATGGTCTCACAAGCTGACTTGAGACAATCCGTTTCGGAAATCGAAAAATGAATCACCACTCTTAGTCAGAGTATATTTTACACCTGTAAGAAAGAATTAGCAACCGAACGATACATGTCAACCGTGATGATGCTGTCCCATGATTCATCCTGCATTTCTCATGTACGGTGAGCTCGTGTGTCACTCAGTTTTATGCTATATACTTGCTACGTTGTCATATTAAAATGAATGCTCTGTTGCTTACAACACTCTATCCGAAAGGAGGAAAAGAGCTTGGAAATTTCCATTATTTGTTTTTGTATTAATCAGAAAGAGCGAAAGATTTGTGAGAGAGAAATCGTACGACAGGTATTCAATATATACAAAATTATGCATATTAAGTAAAAAAACCCAGAAAAAAACGACCAGGTAGTAATTTTCCATGTTGATTGGTACAAGTAGTCTAAGACGGTAAACTATAAGTACGCTAAGCAATGTCATTTCTCACAGCACATCCAAAAATCAAATAGTTAAATACCTACTCGTAAGTCGTCTTATTTCATTACAGAACTAACACATTAGTGAGAATATCAATCATAATAGAGCTCATAAAAACTAAACATGAATTCGTGTAATTAACTGTAAAATGCTGACATAGAGCTTATATTGAGGGCTTTAATTGATACAAAAAGACGAAATATACACAATGAGATTGATAACATGTATTAGAGATCAACTCAGTTTGCGACTCGATCGTTTCGTGACCATAGTATTGCGCTTGAGTGAAAAATATCTACAAGTCACAAATAAGTTTCACCATTAGTCATTTTACTCATATCGAAACTGGATAGGTGTACATTTTCCGTCAGGATTGAACTTACTCATTCCTAACAAAATGCTATTGATAGCTTTAGAATGTATTTCTCTTCAGAAGACAGTGAGAGGTGTTTTTCAGGAGAAATTTTATCGAAGTTTTGAAGATCACGTGACTCACATAATATTTCCGTCTGTAAGATATGACTTTGACGATCGTTCGATAAAGCAGTAGTTGATTCTCTTTANGGGGGGGGAGGGAGAGCACGAGGGGGGGGCGGGGGGGGGGGGGGGGGGGGGGGGGGGGGGGGGGGGCGGGGAGGGGCAATTGTCCCCCCCCCTGAAAAATTTTTGAAAAGGCAATAAATTTTTTCGCCTCAGAAGAAAACGAATATCTGTGGTAATAATCACTGAAAAAATTTTTATTGCTCCCCCTGAAATTTTTTTGCCGGCCCGCCGATGCTATCAAGTGAACTTACGATAAACAAAATAATCATGACTTATTCTTGCTTAAATTTATGAAAACAGCTTTTTTTGGAAAAACGAAAATAAAACTTTAGAAAAGAAAGTAACGATGTCTTAGTGATGGCAAAGATGAGAACAATGGCTACACGTATCTCAAACGTATGAATCGAAACTAGGATGTGCAATGTTAGATATACTTTATCTATTAGATACAAAAATTCGCCGACTTTCGCATCATTTGGATTTACGATAAAAAATGTAGGTATCTAAGATCTTCGATGGATCTGGAAAATGATTCATTTCTGTCTCAACATTCACATGTAGTTCGATTCGACAATATCAGTCAGACAATGCCATTTTAGTGTATTTCTAATAATTCATAATATAGAAATTTGTTGAAGATTTGCTCCGGTACTATAAGTAATTATTATTCATCTTTCTGTCAAACTAGCCATGAGCATTCGTGTTTGCAAATCAGACATATATTTTCTCGTTAGAATAAACTAAACTACTTCTTAAAAACGTGGTCGATCGACTTTTATTTTTATGTTTCCATTTATATATGTGTATATTTGGATTATTGAGATTGAAATCGCATAGATAAATCGATCGCTTTGACATCTTTCGTCAAAGTTCCGATTGCAATATAATCAACTCCGGTTTGTGCAACAGCACACAATGTTGTCTCATTAATACCACCGGATGCTTCAAGTTTAGCGCGTCCATTCGTAATTTGAACAGCTTGACGCATTTCATCTAAACTCATGTTATCCAATAGAATCATTTCAACATTTGTATCCAATGCTTGTTTCAGTTCATCAAGATTTTCAACTTCAACTTCAATTGGTTTCTTCGATGCGACTTCCCGTGCACGTTGAACAGCTTTTGTTATATTATTATCACATGCGGCAATATGATTTTCCTTGATTAAAAATGCATCATAAAGTCCCCAACGATGATTATGACAACCACCTTGTGTAACAGCATACTTTTCAGCCAGACGCAAACCGGGTATGGTTTTTCGTGTATCACGTAATTGAACTTTGGTTTCTTGAACTAAATCTGCATAATGGCGACATCGAGTAGCGATACCTGAAAGAAATTGTAAGAAATTCAAAGCTGTTCGTTCACCAGACAATAAGATTCGCGATGGCCCTTTTAATGTACATATCAAATCATTTGCTTCTGCACGATCACCGTCTTTAACAAGCCAGTCAATAGTAACATTTATAGGATCAAGTTGTCGAAAGACTTCATCGAACCATAAAACACCACAAATAATGGCCTTTTCACGTGTAATCACAGTTGCTTTCGATATTTGCTCTTTTGGAATCAGTTGAGCTGTTACATCACCATCGCCGATGTCTTCCTTTAAAGCACAACGAACATCTATTTCAATTGTTAATTGAGTTATGTCTATATTCTGCATGAGAGATTTTCAATATCGATTTAAGCGAATTGAATGAATGGGCCCATTTTTACTAATATTGTTCTCTACCCTTCATAGCGAATAGATGACGTGGCAAAGATAAATTGTATATATACATATACGAAATGAATGTACCATAAGACGAACGAAAGAATACAAAAGATAAATGTGCTCCTGTTGTTTTTTGTTTTGTTTTTATTCGTATATATATATATATATATATATACGATTTTATCTTTCTCTTCGATTTCTTCGTCTCTTCATCGTCATCAAGTAACAAGACAAAAAAAAGGAAAAGAAAAACGAGTGGACTGACAAGTATTCGTATAGCAATCGACTGAGTAATGTCATAACCATCATCTAACGACATTCTTCATCGATCGGCTCATAGCACGAGGTTGTAATGGTTGTAGGCGTGTAAGAGAAGAAGAAAAAACGAAAAGAAAATGAATCACAATCATACATTCACCTTTTGGTGACGCAAAGGACAAAAAAAAAACATTCGTCAATTTTTGTTTTTTATTTTTCTAAATTAATTCGTCATCGAGTGAAATTTTCCTCAAATGATGCATCGAACATATTACTATCCGCCACCCATACAACAGCATCATCAACAACAATCTCAAACTCCACAGTGGATTTACCAACCATCTTTTTATAACGGTTATACAAGAAATATACCCATTGTCACGAACCAACCTATTCCTGTCGTCCAAACCTATTTGCCGCCTATTGATCGACATCATCCGAAAGTATCTCACTCATCACCTGTCAATTCGTCAGCATATCCATCATCGATGAAATCCTACAAATTATTTCGTAATGCGTTCTCATGTTCGAATCATCAACAGTCGAACAACTGCGACGATGAATTTCTCTATCATGAGCAACAACTAAATCGTAATCTCGCGAAATATGGCATCGAACGTCTGCCAGTGAAAGGCGACGGAAATTGCCTCTTCTACGCCCTTGCCGAAGGTTTAATGTACGAAATGAAATACGATCCAGATGATTTCGGTGTACAAATGCGTCGCTCACTTCGTTTGCCTAGCCAGTACCGTTTAGTTGACTTTGCCGATCGTTTACGGCAGATTTGTGTTGATCAATGGCGATTACACGAGGATTACTATAGTCAATTTGTCGATAAAGAGAAGGTTGCATTTCTCAAAGAAGTGAAAAAGTTTTCGAAGAACGGCGTTTCAGACTCCACCCTGGGTGATATTGTACCGTTGACAATCGCGAATACCTTGAATATTAATATAACCATCTTCACTTCGGTTCTGGATTTACCGCGTATTGACGTGAAACCAGAACACAAAAGTAACTTCTTGTCGTCAACTCGCAAAACAATCTATTTAGCTTATAATCAATACGGATTGGGTCATTATGACGCAGCATATCCTCGTACTTGACATGCCATGGCAAATAATCATGTTTATAGATTGTGAAAATGACTCTTTTACATACATTTAGAGATAAATGTTTCAAATTTTCTTTCTTTTTCGTGTTTGTCTGTGTTTTGCCTTTTTTTTTCTGTCGGTAGTAATCGAAAACGTTAGGTTCATGAATATTGACACCGAAAAAAAGAGAAAAAAAAAGATTGATACAAGGAAAAAGGGAGCAGTCGGCAAAACAATAATAAATTATCGTCGTCGACGTCGTTTTTTATCTGAATTTTCGAATGTATAAACACTGTCAACATTGATCGGATGATTGAAACCTAAAAATCACACGAATAGATGTGATCAACTGTCGCAAATGAATAACTTACGATCCATATCATATTCCGATGAAGCAGATGGTGCGGAATCAAAATGACCAGTTTCTAAATATGATGGCTGTTTAACGAACGACTCCGAGCGTTTGCCGAACCTCAAAACATGAAAAGACTCGTTCAAAAAATCTATAAAAATGAAGATTTGTGCTTACCGAGGTCGAGCGATGATCGCATAATAATTATGTAATAATTTCCAGAAAAGCGCTTGTTCATCTGGTGATGCATTTGATGGCGGCTTCTGAGGTGGATTGGGAAAACTAGCCGACGATGTTAAGTGGACAGAAAGAATGGAGAAAAGAAGGAGATTGACAAATATCGATACACCAAACCAGTTCATTTTCAAAATAAGTCTAGATTTAACGTCGATACTACAGAAGAAGATTGATTATTCTAAATGAATAGAAAATCTTAGTGAATCTGAATTGAAATATATTACTTTTATACGCCAAGAGTAGCTCTTACGTGTTCAATTTGCATGAAGTAAAACTTTCAAGAATAGTGTGTTTCTTTTAGAGTTAATGTACTGTTCTCGTTTTCAGACTCGACTAAACCGAATGAAAAGACTTTGCGTGCTTTCTATCAAATTGTTTCCTCGAGAAAGTTGGCTTTCTTCCCATGAGGTAGATATTGCTGACGCCAACAGTGTTAAGAAGCAAATATGTGTGTCTGGAAAGCTCTCTCAAGTGAGCAAAAACTGTTTTTGTTTCTTATCGCAATATCACCAACACTTCTAAGGATATAAATAAATGGGTACGTACGTTTGTGATGCGTGCGTGCGTGGGCTTTTTACGAAGTAGAATAACTGATCAAAAGAGAAGATTTTATCCTAATGAAGATCTCTCTCTCGCTCGTATTGTTTATCCGTTTCCGCTTGCTTCGAAAGAATGATGACTGGCTAATAGCTTCAAATAGTTATGTGCTCAATTATGCATGGAAAACTCAGATAAACATCAATAGAGGAAATCAACAATACAGATTAACATAAAAAGAAGAAGAGATCAAACAAACGGCTACCGAGCCGTTTACAAAATAAATAGAAAAGACAACTAAGCTTGAAGCTGGAGATGACAAAAAAGAAATAAAATGACTCGTGCGATTCATGTGGAAAAATAACTGAAGAAACATGTATAAGAAGACGTTTTATAATTTCTCTCATTATGCACGATACTCTTAAACAGACTAAAAAACTATTTGTTTTTGCTAAGAATATCTTCAAATATGACGTTAGAAAGTTGTCAGTCGGAAAATGAAATGTCTCTTTTCTTTTCTGAAAAGAAAACAACGCCTCTTCTTCTCCAACAAATACAATAAAATCAACACTATAACTCTTTAAATATCAGTTGATCATAGTGCGGTTTATATTCTGTGAAGAGTGTCTTAAATAAGAGACAAATGAACGTAGGAGTAGCCTAGGAAAAAGCACAAAAAAAAAGATCAATCATTCTAATTGATCAATAATTAAAGAACTTTTCATATTCATTCAACCAAAGTGATCGAAGAGGAAATGAGAAAATCTGAGAAGACGAGAATATTCATTGATATCATCGTTGACAAATGAATGAATATTAAAATGTAAAGATCCGAGTCTTATGAAACTATTTCCCCTGAGACATATCGTATTCATTACTCAAGAATATGTTAAATTTGTAAAACATTAATGAGTATGTCCTATCAAGGGATCAATTCTTGTAAAAATCAGTCCTTCCGTTGCAAGACTTTGATTGAATGAATGATTTTTCATTTGATGGAATTCATAGTTTTCAGATGTTCAATCCTATTTTTAGTTATAGATAAAATTGCCAAATTACAACGGACTTGCTTGTACGGGTTCATCAGGCTACTGTGTAAAAATAGTTCGCAGATGAAGGTGTACCGTGTTTATCTGATTGTAAGTTTTTCCTACACAGTTGCACGTCTTTCTGCCTATGACAAGTTAATTTCAAGAAAAAGAAAATTAATAACTTAGAAACAGAAATAGCAATCTTGAATCAAATTGAACATGGCATTTGATGTTTAAAAAGTGCCATCGGAGATCTTTGGGTTAATGGATGTAAGGGTAGGAGTCATTTGTTTTCATATGTCCAATGAAGTGGATGACTGCATTTGAAGAAAGGCAAAATAAAACAACTATTTGCACGCGTGTGGGAGGGTTTTGTCAATGAGAATGAAGATTAAAATAGGAAGGATGGAACAAGGTCTAGTGCGTATAGGCCGATTACAAACTGGTTCATGATATTAGCCTACGCTTTTTAGGAAAAAGACTGACGTAAAATATAGGTTGTTGGATAGGATAAAATCGCACAATTTCACAATTAAACATGATTTTGAAATTAGTCGAGGCGTGTTCAAGAGAGTAAGAAATCATTAATGACAGGATTTTAATGAAACAACCGTTTAAGATAATAAACAAAACTCTTTAGACAACAACTGAGAATTCTTTGTTGTGAACAAAATGTCTCTTATACTTCGAGAACAGAATGTGGAATTCATATTTAACTAGAGATTGTTCTCAATAAAATCAAACTTTCTAACATGTAGTCTAAACAGTAAATTTGTCAACAAATGATTTCCTCGAAGTCAAAGATTTTGACATGCAAGTACAAAGCGTATTATCCTAGCCCACTCAGACGTCTTGTCTTTTGGCTGATACATATTCTGTTGTTCGCGTGGGTACGTAGAGATATTTTTATGCGTGACCTAAATGTTCCGATCCTGCACGAATTCCGCACGAAGTGCATTGGATACGCACTAGAATGGTATGCAACAATCCAGACAACACGTTTCAAGCAAGTTTATGCAATTAATAGATCGACATGCCCATGCGCTTCGCTCTAATCGACATTTTCCGTGGGACAGACGTGGAAACCCACTCGAAGCTAATCGATTGTAAAACAATTAGAATTGCAAATGTCGATTCGACATCATGGCAACTTCTTTTGAACTAAATTGTTAAACAAAGTCATGCTGAATCGTAAACATACGAATGTCTCCTCATATTCCGTTTTCTTTTTCTTCTTGTCAAAAGATAAACATAAAAATCGGTTTTGTTTGTCACTCGACGATACAAACGATGGCAGATATTAAGATTCATCTTCCAAACGGAATACAGGACATACAATGAAATGAATAGTACACGCGTGCTATACAAAGCTGAAAGACAATTAACAAAGAAATAATCTTTCTCTTCAAATCTTCTTACACATATACAAAAAAAAAAGAATTCAGATCATATAAAAGAGAGAGAGAACAAATGTTTTCATGTGTTCATGGATATGTACTATTAAATATTTCGTGCACATACCTTCACACAGTTGTTATACAATAAAATACATTATTTATAGGCGCAAAAGAGAATCAGAAATATGCTAACTAGGGAACCAGGTATACAAAAAAAAAGAAATGAAATGAAATATACGACCCTCACCGGGTTTCGATCGCAGATAAATTTGCTCAAAAGAAAATGAAGAGAAAAAAAGGTACAATCCGTTAATCGATCTTGTCTATTGCCTCATCTTCTACTGGACCATCTTCATTTGAGACACTTATCGTTGGAACAAGCATTTGCATTGATGTTGTTGTTATTGTACCTGGACGTGATATTTTTGTCGGTCGGATTACAATATAATGGAGAAGATCAGATAACGAAAGGACACCAATGACATGTTCATCTTGATCGACAACAACTAAACGATGAACTTCAGCTTTAACGATCCGTTCCATGCAAGTGGACAATGATTCATTTTTGTAACACTTGGCCACGTTTTCCAAACGTTCTTTACGGAAAGATAAGGCTTCGCTTATTGTCATATTTAGATTAGTATAGGTTTTATCAGCTGCTAAGCCCTACAGATGGAAAAAATCTCATTACTGATGCACCGAGTGATTCCTTTCCACTTACAATGACATCAAATTTCGAATAAATATTCACTAATTTCCTCTGAGCATCGACAACCGGTAATGCTGATATACGGTATTTGACAAAATAATTAAGTGCCTCAATTACCGTTGTATCCTCCCCGATCTGAACAAACAAGAAAATTCATATAATCGAAAGTTCGACAAGCACTTCCGTTCACATACTATATGCATGTTATCATAAGTTCCAACACTGAGTTCTTCCAACGTTTTCGACATGTATGCCGGTTGGGGCCAGTCATAGATCTAAAGCACGAAGAGTTCGATGGAAAAGAACAAGAACAGTCGTATTGAATACTCACGTATAAATAAAAGAATCGTAAGACTCGTTTGTGTGTGAGAATAAATACGACATTGTTTGTTAGTGGATCAACAATTGGTAAACGATGAACGTGATTTTCTGTCAGAATACGAACCGCTTCGAACAAACTAAAATGAATCCATTAGACGATGTTTTTTGTCATTCGTATTTCTGATTTACCTATCGGTTGGTTTGATACATAATAGCGGTTTCTCATATTCTCGTAAAACTTCTCTCCATGTTTCGATTCGGTGTTCTTCTAATTCTTCGATCTTGGTATTGGGTTCTTTGTAATACTTCTCCAGTATCAGAATGAAGTCCGTTATTGTTAACATTCCTGTGAATTTCTGTCGTTTCGTATCCCATAATGGAGCGGCACGTACACCATTGTAAACAAGAGCATAAAATGCTTTTTTCACCGCTAATTGGGTATCAAATATGACAAGTTTAGAACTTTTCGGCATAATGTCATAACATGTATGAGTTTTCATAAAATGGGTATAAACTTCATCGTCACTAACTACAAGAATACAGATGACATTTCAATAAGACTACAGTAGAATTCGAAAGTTTCTTACTAAATGTATCATCCATGTCGCTGGTCGGCGAACTTGACTAGAAAAAAAAGTTGATTGATGGATTGGTGAAAAAGAAAGTTTGGATAGCGTACTGTTGGACGTATGCAATAGGTCGATGGTCGATCTGACGAACTATTTCTGGTGATTATAGTCTGGCCAGAAAATGTTTTACTAACACGAGTTGTTCCACTCATGTTATTTGGACTTTGAGCTCCTAAAATCAATCAGATAGACGTAGCAATAGAAATAAGAAACATATGCATCATACCGCTCCGTTTCGGGTCTTGAAAAAGTGACTGAAATGACAAGAGAAAAGAAAATTAAACGTAAGAAAGGAATTGAAGCAGGCGTGGAAAACCTGTTTTTTAATAGTAATTAAGCGAGCGAGCGGATAAGCTGTTAAGCAAAGCAAAGTTATCGACGAGAAGATATTTCTTTTCCTTTCATTTATTAACAACTTCTCTTTTCTTTTCTTTCTGTTTAGTCTCATGTTGGACCTCTGCCAATGATGAATGAATAGTCACTCATACAACACAACATTGACAGAGAGGGAGAGAGAACAATGAATGAGTAGAATAACGAAGGAGAAAGAGAACCGAAAGAATGTTACGACAAATAATAAATACAATGAACCTATACAATGTGAAGGAGATAAATAACATACCAATAGTTGACTTGTACCTCCGTTTGCTGTACCTTGTTTGCTTTGTTGTTGAAGGCGACCAAGTGCTGCTTGAATGCGAAGATCATCGTTGCCTTTTGTCATGCGTTTATGATATGAGATTGAAAACCCTGTTGGAGCAGATGATAGTGACGCATAATATTGAGAATCGGATGTGGGTAATGCTAGGGCGTTGGGACCGGCACTTGTGTTCTTTCCACTGCCACTATTTACTCGACTTCCACCGCGGGTAGTATTGGAACTTCGTACACCGTTTATTCTTCCGTCTTTATGATTCCGCTGTTCACTATCTGACAGTGAACCCGTAGAAGCGGTTCGCTCATCAAGTTCATCATCGTCATCATCTTCATACGTATTAGAATTGGGATAATTTGTAGTTAAAAGGTTATTATGTACATTTGACCTTTTCTTGTAATTAGTTGAATTGGAATGAGTTTCAATGGATTTCGTTGTTGTAGTTAATAATGTCGGGAGAGGTTTTTTTGTTTTCTTTGGAAAAAATCTCGAAAAGAGAGATTTATCAGGTACGGATTGAGGATCTGATTTGGAACGTGAACGTACACGACGAATAAGAAATTGCTTAGCAGCTGACGATGTCGACAAAGTAGAAGAGCCGGTACTTGTTGCTTGCGATTTATTCGTTGGTACCGCTAAGGAAGCAACGGGCATAGCTGCGCTTGTATGTTGAACGAGAGCAGCGACAACATTTGAATGTTCACTGATTTCATTAGTTCCATTCGTTCCTCCACCTGGACCTGATGTACTATTTGCTGGACATGATAATACCCCAACGGAATTACTTAACGTTGTGTTCGGCTTTTTATCATTTGCAATGGTACGGGTTAGAAATACGGCTTGAATACGAGATCGTTTGGATGTTCCATCCGAATTAGTTTTATTGGGCGACATTGAACGATCCAAATCCGTTTGATCGGTACCAGTTGTTACTGTTGGATTACTTTCATTCTAAATATATCATGGATGAAAAAAAAAGTTTCCTAGTTTTTATCGAATTTCTGATCTTTTTGACAAAAATTTTCTTCAGTTCGTCTTTCCAACTTACCATTGGTCGAGCATAACTGTTATGATCCATCTCATGATTCGTATCATGTTCATGATCATGCTCATGTACCGTGTCGAGTAAAACTGATGTTCGTACTGGATAGTCGCTTGTTGTCATTATTTGTTAGATACACAATCAATAACTGACTGATATGATGAATAGTAAGATAGGAAAACGTATTCCTACTCGATTTTTTTCTCTTTCTTTAAAATAAAAAAAGACTATATTGTAATTACATGTAGCAACCGTATCTTCAATACTCGCGTCTATAAATGCGGCGAGAAAAGAAAAAAAAAGAGAAATGACTGACTGAATGAATGATGATAGAGACTATGACGCATTCACGCACTATTCTCTTCTTGCTTGTTCTCGTACGTACGAAGAGAGGAAAAAATGTATATATTCGTTCTTCGTGGATATATACATATAAAACTATATCTCGATGTATATGCTCTCATTCTGTTGCTTTCAAACGTAAATAGAAAGTAGAGATGGACGGATGAACACTACGAGAACGAAATGAAATGAAATCTAAACTAATCATATTTCGTTTTCTTCGTCGTTTTTGATATTCAGCCAACTGAAATGTTCAATTAGGAGAATGAATGACGGTCACCTTTATCTTATGAATGAAGATTGATATCTTTCGTTTTGTTCTTCCTTCTTTTCGTTCTTTCTCTCTCTCTCTCTCGCTGCATATTATCATTATCATTCGAACAAAGTCCTCTAGTTAAAGCAGAACAAGAAGAAAGACAGAAAGAAAGAAATCAAATGGTGAGTAAGGGAACGTGAAAGGACGCATGTCTCCTAAATTCAGGATAAAAAAATCTGTAGAAGGTAATACGAAACCTTGCAGATATATAATCACGTTCCATTGTCTTTCTGTTTTTTTTTCTCGAAAGATGTAAAAGTGTCAATAAAATGGCTTCTTTCCCTGAAAATAGAGTGAGTAGAACATTCTTCTTTTTCCTGTTCCTAGTTTATTGATTCACAAAACAAGTCGCGAGTAGTAGCAGTAGTTGCAATGAGTCTCGTTTTTCTCTGTCGGACGTCATATATTGCACATTCGAAGGGACGGATGAAATATGCGTGATGGGAAAAAAACCGGCTGCATTTTTCTTTCTCCTCTTTCGCATATATACGCACAATCAGACAGACCGGTTTCTCTTTCGATGCTAGTCGTAACTCTACTCATGGCATCGTCTTATTTGCTTGTCATCTATGAAATAAACGGCATAGGATAGAATAGAAGTTCTTTCGCCTTTCACTTCCTAAAAATTTCTCTCTATTGGTTGTAGTCGAACAATAAGAATAACGTTACAAATGACAAGAGTGAGGCAGAAGAAGAAGGCGAGAAAGAAGGAAATATTATTGACGAAAAAAAGAAAAAATGATGGCAAAGTAATTCTACGAAGAGAAAATGAATACAATTCACTTAAATCATGTCTTGATATTCGAAGGTCAAATATACGCACATAGTGCAAGAGGATGATCGAGAAACACGAATATTTATAAGCGTCATCAATCAGTGTCACTTCTTTTCATATGATGACGATGAAAATATCATCTACATGCTTTTTTTAAGTTTCTACACAAAATCAACGTAGAAAACTTGTTTTCTTTTTAAATTGAGGGTAAAAGTACAGAAAAGAACACTTGTCTTTGTGGATAATGAACTTGCACACGTTATGATTATTCATACTCGTTGAGTCATATCTTGACGTATGACGTCAATGGTTTTCTTCAAAATTCCGATAGTAACTTCACGTATACACTTCCGCGCATAGAAAAGAGCATCTATCATTTAATTTAATGAAGTAAAAGGAATTTGTTCTTTCCTCAAGTATCGATCGGAAAGTTTCTATTTTTTGACGTTAGTCACTTTCGTTCTCAATATAGATCACTCACAATCATGCCTGATGAAAAATGACGACGGGAAAATCGGCCTACATATATTTAACGGATCAAATGATGAGAAAAAATATCGAAAATGATGTGTATTTGATCTATAAAAGTCAAATATTCATTTTTCTCTTTCCTCCGCTGCTAAATAATAATTTTTTCTTTTCACTGCAACAATGCATTTATTTAGTCAACATTCAACGATGCTATTCTCACACAATGTACGTGAATGTTTCATCACAGGTATGCTATTTTTTCATACCATTGAAAAGTTAGATTATTATTTAGTCGTACGTATTTCATTGTTCGAGAGTACTTTTCATCTTACTAAAAAAAAAGAGCTCTTTAATAACGGATGATTTTGTTTCTATAAACTGTAAGGAGAGACGGCTGAGACTAAAGTCTGATTGAGATCAACTACGGAATTGTGACGTGTTTCATCAATAGTTCGTTTGACTAGTCGATGCAAAGTAATCACGTCGTTAGTAATTGAATAGAATAGTTCTTTTGACAATCGCAAACAAGTAGACGAAGTTTGCCAAAGAGTCTGTTGAATTAACAAAATACAAACAACATCAATTCAGATTGAATCACATCTTTCACCAATCTTCTAACAAAGATATCGTGTTAATTTACTTTTTCATCATACTAATTCTACGTTGAGTTTCGCTGGAAGAAGTCTTATGTTGCTGTTCAGTGGATTAGCTTTTCCATTATGTCTCGATTTAACAATTACGAATGTCATTGTTCTTAATCAGGAAAAAATCATGAACAAATGCTTTGTTCGAGTGGACGGAGATTAGGAAAAAGCAGGATATAGCATTTCTGATAATTACCTCGTAGATCGTTTCGAGATCTTGTTTATCAGATGTGGAATATCGTCGTACGCGATCGTCCGTTGTAAAATTGAAGGTATTTACAGGCGCAAAGAGAGTATTTCGTCTCTCGCACGTCATTTTCAAACAAATTTAATAAACACCGGATGTTTTACAGTAAGACGTTGATCAAATCCATTTACACAAATGCACCACCCGTGTTGAATATTTTTGGTTTACTAAGCAGCAGTTGTAAATCTCGTCTCGCTTCTTTCCTTCTCTTGCTCTACGTTTTTCTTTTCACATCCGAACACCATTACTCTCTTTTTTTTGTCAGTTAGAATAGGCAAGAAACTTTGCCTGCTGGCGTCTTTTGTCGTCATTGCTAACAGTATTTTTTTCATCTCAACGAAGAAAAAAAAAGAAGGAATGTGAGCGTAGAGAAGAGAACTAAGAAAATTCCTATTTATTGATGACAATCACGTTAATAAGTACAGTAGTCATTTTAGCTATTCAATGCGATGCGATGCGATGTATCATATATCTTATCTCTGTTGAGTACTCTCATTTTACACATAATTTTTATTGAATTAAATCTTTCTCTTGTTCCTGTTGCAATACTGTTATTAAAAAAAAAGGAATTTCATCAGCGCTTGTAATGACTTTTCAGTTGTTGTTTGGAGAGGCGAGAAAGGATAAAAAACAAAGAATAACTTTCAACAAGAAGAACGTGCTATTTTGCTTTCTATTTCAGTTGAGTTTTACACAAATAGAAGTACTTCCACTCAGATGTCGATGATCATTATACATTTAACGACTATTCAAAAGAATAGAAAAATATGAGAGAAAGCCGAACTTTGCCCGTGCAATTTTAATCAGTCAATGCATTTTTAAGCTGGAAAAGCAAGCGATAAGCACATTGAGCTAAGCTGCGTTTCACTTACCTCGTCAATCGTATGAAGTTCGGCATTAGGACAGGATACATGTAAGTATTTCTTGTCAGGTACACTGAATCGTCGCGTACGTCGAGCAAAACCTAGAATTCCTGTATTTGTTGTGCTCGTCGTTGTTGAATTTTGACGTTTGCGTGATGATGTTGTGAACACAGAGATAATCTGTTTTCGTATGCTCTCGGGATCTACTGAATGTCGTCGCATGGTAATCAATGTCGTTTAGTTACATATACCCTTTCGAATATCGATCTACGAGACGAAGAAAGACAAGAAATCAAAGAACGTAATACGAAAGTACAAGAGACAAATCGAGTACGAAGAGATAGTATCGATGGTTAGCACTTAAAAAGACGAGGAAATTGAGAACATTTGTCGAGAAGGTGTGATATTCTTCATGAAGTTGCTTTTCTTTCAGAGAATATTTGAATATGCAAGGTACATTTATTCATAGGAATAAATAGGAAAAAAAGTACACAAAGAACAAAGTTCGTGTACTCTTTCGTTTTTGTTTCATATCTCAACCGAAACTCGTTACACAAAAAAAACATGGTTTTCTGTATTCGAACGCGTGAAATACGTGATTGATATAAACATTGTCTATCTTGTCAATATACAAATGGCGTCGTTAAGAAAAGTGCAAGTAAAGGTTGTCGATACGATCAATATATACATACACAAATAGATAAAAAAGAGACACTAAGAAAGTATCTCTTATCTTCCGAATAATCTGCATCCGACAATGAAAGTTCTAAATGCCAACGAAAGAAAAAAAAATCTATATCGTATTACCGTATGCCGGTTGGCTATGTTTAATATAAAAAATCATCGGTTCGAATGTATTTACTGTGTGTATATATTGACATATAATCGAATGTCGCAAATACATTCGATTAACTAATCTATATATGTTTGCTGTTGTTGTTTTTTTCTATTTTGAGCAAAAAAATCGTGAAATTGCTTTCTATTTTTGATTTCTGAATGAGTCACCTGTTTCGCGAAATTCAAATCTCATTTGCCATGTCATTTGTATCTTACATCGACAATCGGTGTCAAGAGTAGAATGTGACCTTCAAGTACGTACGTCTACACAACTCATCAGTTGTCGTCTGTCAGACATAAATAGCATCATGCTTTCATTTTTGGGATATTTCTATACAGACTCATAGCGGTTTTTTATTTATATCTTCGATTCACAGCAAGAAAGTTTTGAAAAACAAAGTAACGAAGAATCACATAGCACATCGATTCACCAGAGAAGAAAAACGTAAAAAAGAAAGAGAGAGAGTAGACATTGGATGAAAGAAAAAGAGAGAGAGAGAGGAAAAAACAAAGTGAGATTGTATGTGGTAATTGTCATACGCACACGAAGAGACTTAAACGATGAAATATTGGAATTAAACACTCGTATCCGATGTTAATAGATTTCGTACTGGTGGAGATGAACTTGTTGGATTTAGTGAAGCAATTTGTCGTTTGCGTTTAGTTCCACTCGTTGAGACTAAATTGGAGACATTGGTTGTATTGATTGAAAGAATCTGACTAGATGCCGAGCAAGTTGACGAAAGAAGAGGAAAGGAATCCGATTGAAAAAATGCACGTAGACGATCACGATCACGTTCGAGTAGAGCAGCACGTGTCCGTGTTGTGTGTGAAATAATCGAAGCAACTTCTTTAACTTTGACGGGAATCATTGAATGATAGTGATGATTGAGAATAGGCGATGGTAAATTACTCTTAGTGATCGTGGACAATTCATGATCGTCCAGACATAAATGTACAGCTATGCGAGTACACGGAGTTGCAGGTGTTTCTTTCTGATCGAGTTGATGTTTTTGTTGAAAAGTTTCATTGGAAAGAAAAAATTCTTCGATGCGTACGGCTTCATCGTTCGTTGAGAAGTATCCAAATGTTTCACGAATAAGTGCTTCGAGATATTCATCATTGGAATTCGCTCGGATTGATAGCCAATTATTTTCAATGTATCGTTGGTAATAATAACGACCTTGTTTACTCAAACAAAAACCTTTGTAACATTCGATACGTTCGTGTAAACGAATAAAATTGTTATTTAAAGTAAAGAAATCTAAAACGCGATCGATATGAACGGGATCTTGAACGTAGGATAACCCGTAAGCACAACGTAGACGATCATCACGACGTGGACGTTGTTCCCACAGCTTGAACAGATTATTTAAATCGTTTTCTGATGCATGGTGAGCAACAATTGCACATATCGGCCAGAGAACAGTTACTGATGAATCATTTAAATATACAAGTAATTGTTCACGTGACTTAGAAACGATTGTCGGATCATGACCAATAGTTCCTATTGACAAAAACAAAAAAGATTGATATCGAGATAGGGATTTGTGTTGTAATTTACCTAAGATAACTAAGAGAAAACATCTCAAGCGCCCACGTGCAATCGAATCGTTGTCATTCGGGATGAAACCAATTCTTTGATATAAAGTTCGATGAAAGAATAAAACGAACTGTCGATAATAATCAAATAGTTGCTTATCATACTCCAGAAGTGTACCGATTCGTATAATATTGCTTTCAATATCTTTCCAAACAAGCTCATCATCGACTTCATCGACATATCCATTCAATAACAAATTGAAATAATCAACCAACGATGTAAATCCACCCATGACTAATGCGTACATGTCGTTTTCGAGATTAAATCGATCGAAGGTACTCAATTCTTGTTTAATCATCGCTTGGATCAGTTGTTCTAACATATCCGAAGAATAAAATACGCGATAAGGACCACCAGAACAGATGTTTAGCTTGAACCAATTCGATGCCAAAGATGAATATCGACGTTTTTTTACTAATGGTTCAGCATCATCATCTTTTAGTGAAGAAAGAGAAGAAGAGTTGGTATTAATACGAAGAACATCGTGTTGTTTCGCCATTAGATATTTGATGACACAGTCATCCGACTGGTTTCTAATTATTGTTATCGGAATCATCCAGTTTGAGTCTCCGACATTGGATTGTTGAATATCAACATGATGTTTTGTGTCACATATGAGATCACTTGTTTTGATACAATGACACGAGATTTTCTTCTCATCGGAATGTTTTTCCTGATCATGACCTCGACAAAAACTCATCTGTTTCAACTCCAAATCATAAGTGCCTAGAAGAGACGAATTTATACAAAATAATAGGATGCTCTATCTTACCAGTCGTTTCATCGTGTCCAAGCATCTTCACTTGTACGACTGGATAGCTTTTCTTCGTACACCAACTATGTACTAATTGTTCTAAAACAGAATTGCGCTGATCGATCGATCGATTGAGAGCATGTGAAATTTTACTTATTGGTAGTTTCGTTGTTTCTTCTACACATGTCCAAAAATCAATCGCAGTTGCTGTGCGATACGAATACCGACGTAGAAACAATCGAATGGATTCGAGAAACTCATATTGTCCAATGAACAAATGTAACATACGCATCAAACATGAACCTTTCGAATAAATATAACCTTCAAAGGAGAAATCTTTCTCATCAATATCATCGGCTTCATTGTGAAGAATATTAATGCAATAATCAAAATAACGAACGAATTGAGTCGAGAAAAACTCTGAGAATACATTGTATTCGGGAATGATATAATCTGTTGCTAAATATTCGAACCATTTAGCAAATCCTATGCAGAAAAATTCGCTACAAAAAATTCGAATCGAGACACTGAACTGACCTTCAATAACATAAACATCATTCCACCAATGAATGCTCACTAAATTGCCGAACCATTGATGAGCTATTTCATGTGTGACTGATTGACATACATTACGATACTGAACACTGATAGCGTGATCTTCATTGATTAACATTTCTTCTTCCTAAAACATATTCATTGGTGCTCGATGGCAAAAACCTTCGTTCTATGAGGAAACCTTAAATAGTATAAGCGCCCAATCTTCCATGGCAGGATAGAACAGATCTGGCACAGCAACGAGATCAAGCTTAGCCATGGGATATTCAATTTGAAATAGGTCAGCATAATAATATAGAGCTTTGCGGGCACAATTTAATGCAAATGTTGCTTCGTGCTTTCTTCCAGGCAACGTGTAAGCTGTTAGTTCAATTGGAGCTAATCTACACGACGAACAACGATATCGATATATTATTTCAAAGACATTATCAGTGATACTAACTGAGAATCTTTATTCAATCGTTGAACAGGTTCACTTTTCACCATATCAAATTCTCCGATGACAAAACACAGGAGAAAAGTTGGCATTAATGGTGTACGCTGGAATCGTATTCGTTTCGTTTCGCTGTTCATCAAATGATCTTGAGAATAAAGTTCGGGCATGTTTGACAATGCTTGCATATGTCTCGGTATATCGAGAGTTAAATCAAATGTCGCGCGTAAACATGGCTCATCAAAACAAGGAAACACCCGACGACAGTGTGTTGGTGACATTTGGGTGATTCCATAGTGTTTTTTTACAAAAGACATTTCATTTGATTGATTGTTATGCGATAGGATATCGACGGTAGAACGGTAAAAGCCAATTTGATTCTGCGTAGTTATATGACCTGAAAACGACTTGATTATCAAACGATATGAAATATTTGGAGAGAAGCTTTGCTGATTTGGAAGACGAATTTCCAGAAGTTCGTTTAAATCATTTAGCTCAGCGGAGCATTTGACTTCAACTGATGATGAGATTATAATCAACGATATCGAGGATAAATCGATCGTTAAATGTGACGTGTCGAGTTTAATTGATGATTGGTTGTGTTCTTCGACGATTAAATCGATCTTGACTGAACCACAAAATTGACCCGAATCGAGATCAGTTGTTAAATGAACGTCATAGTGCTTCGGAATGATATGTTGATTACGAGGTAAACGACGAGACGACATCGATTTGATTCAAATGATGATCTGAAATAGATAGAACCATTTTTGTCAAACAAAAGCAGACTAAACTATTTTATCCGTAAAGAAATCAAAATGATTTATTGTGTATAGCTAGTAGATAAATTTTGATTGAACATAAGTGAAGAAGATGAATTCATTGAATATTTGGTAGATCAATTTTTAGTGAGCGTGCTAAGCTACGCATAAATTCGATTTGCGATGGAGGGTATGGAATACCGCCAAGTTTATCACATACGGCCATATGGGCTCGTTCCGGATCGCCGGCAATCAGAACTGGTTTGCCAGATTCTAAAAACGATCCATATAAGTAGGATGGGAAATACAGTTGTATTTTTACCTGTGGGTGGCAATGATCGACAATAGTTGATTAATTTTTGTAAACGTTGATCGAAGTCATCTTCGAATGCATTGGGATTAATAGCGATGAAACATTGGCCCAGATTTGCTTCACTTTTACCCGATTTCCATGAACGAATCCACGGACCAAAATGACTCCCTATCGGTTCAAATGGTTAAACATTTCATGCTTCATATCACTTGATCTACCTGATAGAATTCCGCAAAGAATTTCAACCATCATAGCTAAACCGTAACCCTTGTAACCAGATGATTCTTCTGGACCACCCAAAGCTAGTAAGCCTTGCACTTCTTGCGGTTTTGTTACTGGAATACCTAGAAAATACAGCAGAAAAGGAAAAAAATGTTTCAACCGTACACAGTAGAAATTCAATTTGAACAACCTTCTGCATTCACACCCCATGTATTAGGAATGTCAGAGCCTCGTCTTTGACTTATTTCAACTTTTCCCAATGCTACAGTCGACGTTGCCATATCAAGCACAAAGCTATCGCCATTTCGAGCCGGTGCACCAAAAGCGCTGTAAACATAGATAAAGATAGCCAAACGTTAGACAATTTCACAACTAGTTCTATTTACATTGGATTTGTTCCTAAAAAAAAGGATCATTATCAAATTTCATTGGGATTAAACAGAAAGAAATCAACCTAAGGATTGAGCTTTGGAACGTGTTGGTACAACTAATGGACTCGTATTCGTGAACTAACCAAGGAAAATACATTTTAAATACGTTAAGGAACGATGAGCAAACTCACAGCCCATCCAATAAGATCACTGTCAACTGCTTTTAGTGAATAATAACCCGCAATACCAAAATGATTTGACCGACGCGCAGCAACTAATCCAATCCCAATTTTCTTCGCCTTTTCCATAGCTAGATTCATACAAAATTTTCCGACATACGGCCCTAATAAATTCTGTCCATCAACCAATGCTGTTCCAGGTGATTCTTTAAGAATAACTGGATCTCCTAACCATGAACAGCATTCAATAAAAGAATATTTCTCTGTGTTAACTGATCAAACCGTCTTTCGCCGTCGTTTCGTTTCTGATATCATTCACATACATATCAAGCCGGTTAAGACCATGACTATAATGACCTATTCAATAACAAATAAATATCTTATCGGAACTCTCGATAGTAATGCACGCTTTACCCCGATAGTCTGCCATACTTAAATTATCCGCTAAGACTTCAGCATGGGAAGGTCGCGTACCAACTTTCAACATACATCGAACAATAAAAGAGAAAATTTCATCTTTTGACACGATCTTTTCGTTTGGATCAATGACAAAATTCTTCGAATTTCCATTGGAACTCGATTTCTATGATTAAAACAAAACCAAATTTCACACGAGTGTGTAATTTTCTTTGTTCGCGACTGTTCACATACCGTACTAGCGTAACAAGAAAAGATTTGCTGGCATTTGACGTAGTTTGAGTGATTAAACGATCTATTGAAACAATCCGAACTACTAGATTTTCATGTAAAACAACTATACGTACCGGAGAACACTTTTTGATAACATTCTTCTCCTCAAAAGACACTTATCATCTGTAAATCAAATAAAGAATGAAATAAAAAGAACGAATGTATTTATCTGTTTATCATTCAATGTGAGTACACAAAAGCGATTTTATAGTTTAAAAAGAAGCATAAAAGATTAGAATTAATGTTTCATTTAACATAAAAAAAGAAGCGGAATGTATGCGATTTCTACAAGATTACAATAATCAAAAAAGAAAAGCAAATGATTAAATGGAATGTATATGAATTTATGTTCATTGCGAAATTCTCTCCCATTCTCAACGTTGTTTATTGGTCAAAATTCGAACGAGATCTTCACAGTTACATCTGAAATAGAATAGAACAATCAATTGTCGCGAGTCTTCGTGAGAGTTTACCGGCCGTCAGCATCGATATCTGCTTCGCGAATCAATTCGTCAACTTCTTCTTCCGAAAGTCGTTCACCTAATGAGATCATCGCGTGTTTCAGTTCCGATACACTAACATAACCAGTTCCATCTTTGTCAAACACTCGAAATGCTTCACGAATATCATCTTCTGTTTCTCGATGATTTGCTCTGAAATCCTGAGCAACACGAACGAAAGTGTTGAAATCAATTTTCCGGCCGACTTGTTGCTGAATCTTTTGTAAATCAGCTTCCGATGGCGATAAACCACATGAACGAAGAACAACACCTGGAAAATTCGATTCAGTTTCTCTCCGAATAGAAAAATAAAGTTATACCTAATTCTTGAGGTGCTATGATATCATCATGATCTTTGTCGAACAAAGAAAATGCCTCGCGGTATTGTCGCATTTCGTCGGAAGTATTAGCCATGGTGTGTTTTTTTTCAATCTACAAGAATTAAAATACATTTCCTAATTATTTAGCTAAACCTATTCTGAATAAAACAAGTAAATAATAAAATCGATCATTTTTCCGATGGATAATCTACAGAAAATAGATTTGTTTAATAAGAATTTTTCGTTGTCGATAGGAATTACTTGTTCGACTATGCCAAGCTTCTAGTTCATTGATAGAAATTTGTATATCAGCTAATTGTTTCTCGATGTCATCGAATTTAACCAATTCTTCATAATCTAATTGAAGCTTTTGTCTATAGAAAACAAATGATGAAATCAATTGAAAGAATCTTTGACTTTCATACGCAATAATATCGATAGATGCTTTTAAGTAATTGAAATGTATTATTTCCCGATCGAGTTTCTCATTTAGTTCAATCAATTGATTTTTATTATTTACAGTTAATAGTTCAGCATTGGAAACTACAAACAAAATTGAAAATTTCGAAAATTCAATTTGATCGTACCTTCTTCAGAAATGCTCTTCAACCGACTCTCGGTTTTCTTTCGAATTTCATCTAGATCTGCTCGAGCCTATACATACAAAGACTATATCATAACAAAATCCATCACTCCGACATACATAAGAATGATAATTCGTACGAAATGCCATCGTTAAATTAGCACATTGTTCAGTTATTTTCGAACTAAAATCTCAATATTTCCATAACATATAAAAAAAGCTTTTTCTATCTTACATATTTCGATGATGATTGTACTTCGCAGTATTTCCCTTGTCTAGAAGCATATCTTGATCACGACGTTTGTCGACAATTTGAGAGTGCAACCTTAAAAGCATTCATCAAGTGAATTTTTCATGCATTTCATAAAAGAAAAGACACTCTTGGCATGCAATGTTCAAAATAGAGAAATGTTTTTTTTTCGTGCTATCATACGATTGTGACATTGCTGTTCGTTCATTTAAATTTCGATCGAGAATAGATCGTTTGACTGCTCGAGAGAATAAAAATAATCTAAAAGAATCGACAAAGTGCTTTGTACCTGTGTTCGTTTCAATGGCTGCACGAAGTTTGATTAAATCTTCTTGTACTGAACAAACAAGAAAAGACGAGGATGATAATTTTAGGAGAAGAATAGGCTTTACATTGTTCTTGAGATGTATCGTAGGTTTGTTCGAGTCGAGTTTGATCCGAAACTTTTCGATTTAACAATTCCAGTTCTAAAATACGAATGTTTTCGAAGAAAGAAATCGAACAAAGGAAAATAAACAAACCTTGTTGTAATTCACTTGTATAGGAGTTAAGTGATTTAAACATACTTTCGACTAATTCATTTTTATGAGGTGATGAAGAAGAACCTTCCATGGGACTATTCAGATTAGCTGAACAACGACAAATAGCTGAATGATTGAGTAGGTAAATTGACCGTTGATGAGTAAACAGTGCGTGAGATATGTAGAGTGTGGATAACGATGGATTTATTCGAGGAAAAAATTCATCCACGCATTCTTCGGATGTGAGAGAAACAACGAAAGGGTTTTTATAACAATGAGCATATAGATAACCTTGTAACAGAAGAAAAAAGAGTCCTATAGATGGCGCTAGCGAACAATTCGCCGGCATTTGTATTCAATTCGAGTGAAAACATCTTGTTTTGTCGAGGTTGTACCAGCTGTTGTGGATAGTTGTCAAACTCGATACCACAAAAACCTATTTCTTTCGTTATTAACAATAACTTCGAAACTGTCATCCGCACCAGTTCTTTTGTAGAAACTCAGCAAAGAGACAAAAGAATCAAATTGTGTTAGGCACAAAAAATGAAGATCTAAAATATGAAGGCCATTCTCTTCCTCTCGTGTGGATACCAATAGACATGAAAAGTTGATTGTATCATGTACTCAAAGAGCACAGGAGTACATCGATATGTTCCTTTGTCCGGTCATTAACTGAACAACAATGTTCCATAAATTGTTTCGTATTCGCAAAGAGTTTCTATCGATTTCAAGCCGCCGTTAAAGTTTAGACTTCCACTTAGGATCCTGCGATATGTTTGTGAATAGCAGACCATTAGACATTTCTTCGTATTTCTATACTTGAGATGTCACTAATGAGATAGCATTGTTAGTTTCGTTTTGAGAAAGAACGAATTGACCAATTGAATTCGTCAATGAAGCGGGACAAAGACACCGTTTGTCAGTTTGGTTCAGTTAGTTTTTCTTCGATTCCGAATTAGCGCCAAAACTTGGCCATGGGCTCCAATCGAGAACAACAATTAGTCGATAAAATTCGACAATTATTACCCGACTCGAAAAAGAAATACATCTGGTCAGATATTGACAAAGTAATTTGCAAAAATCATGTGTCATTCTCAGTGTTTTACATTTTATTCAATCTAGACAGAGAAGTTACAGGATTTAGCGTTCGAATTGACCAGTACTTATTTTGGTGACTTTTTCGCGACTCAACAACAAGCACCAATCGATCGTCTTCAAGCCGCTGCCTGTTTCTTGTAAGATTTTCTTTCCTTACACGTCATGCGTACCTTATCATTTATCTCAACAGAAACTTTCTCCATACAATCGCTGATTGTGAAAATGATGAAGCCGAAGTTGATGAAGGACATTATGGTCTCTGGTTACTCACGGTATCAAGTATGTAAATATTAACCTGTACACAACGTTCTACTGTTCAAATAATCCTAGATCAGGAAGAACGACTGATGCATTTAAATCAGTTAGCTGATTGTTTACTTCTCTTCAAACGTACCATGGGTTCAATTGAAGCTCTTCAAAAAGAAGACGTATGATCGATGTTTTATTGAGTGATTTGTTTTCTCGATTTTGAATTTCAGGCAGCATTACGGGCGAACGCACAGAAGATGACGAATGAAATCAACTTTTATCAAGAAGAAATCGCTTCAAATAAAGAACAAATTGAATTAGTATGATTCTTTTTTCCAAAGAGAAATCGAATATTTCATTGTAGTGATTCATTTCTCTCATAGTACAAAACAGAAATTAAAAAACAAACAGGTATCAAAGTAGATACGACAAAACAAATCGAAAAGCTCAATGCTGATCTCGCTCGAATTCAAAACAATTATACAACTTTGGAAAAGACCGATGTATGATGTCCAACTTATGTTTCGTATTTATCTTCTGTTTACTTTCAGAACGAACTCGATAGTACATTAGAAGCATTGAAAGTTCGAGAGAAATTATTGGAAAGTCAATTAATGGTTTCATCCTTGAACGACATTCTTTGCGAAAACGGAAATTATTTGAAAGAAAATGCCAAAGTAAATCTTTGCTTTTCGACAAAAACTTTTCACGTCGGAAGGATTTTAGTTGCAAAGCGAAATACATTTGATGAAGCAAGCTCGTCAGTTACAAGATGATAAACAGCATAATGTTCTCGAACCTGCGATTACAAGCGTAAAAACAATGTGTGAACAACTCGATGGACTTACACCACGAGCAATTACTATTCAGTAAAGTTTGCCTTCGCTGAAGAATTTTCGAGTTGTTGGTTTTCATTTTCAGGAATTTGTCGAGTAATATTGATCGTTTGACACGAGATATTGAAAGTACAAGAGAAACAACGGAAAAATTACGTGTATTAAATCCGATCGGTACTGAAGATGATTCTTCGTTTACTTCAATGCTGACGAATGCTCAAGTGTAAGTTGATAATGTTTCTATTGAGCAAAAAAGCTAGTATCTGTGTAATTAAGCGAATTGGCTCAGCAAAAGCAGAACTTCGACAAACGTACCGGTGAATTCGAACGGACAACTGTTGCGTATGAATTGATCAAACGATCAGTCGATGATCCAAATCTATACAAAGATGTCTATTCAATGGAGAAACGCGTAGAGACCGCCCGACAACAGGTAGATTATTTATTTCATTCGACTCCACAATCCGTTTCTCTACATTCTCTCTTGTTTTTTCTAGCATGAACAAACAAAGAATAAGATCATGCATGTTATGGCTGATGCTCTCAATGTTCTATAAAAAGCAATTCTCTTTTTTCCATGTATCAATATAATTTCTAAATAGCCAATACATTCTTTATGTACATATCTTTACAAACGAATAATAAAATAGAACACTCCTGACATAAGTGACAAAGCAATCTTGCTAAATGCCATCCGGATCTGTAAATAATGCAAATGTTCTTGTTAATGCATAGTCGTATCGAAATGCGAGGACATCATTCTGTACTAACGGAAATTGGTCTTCAATCTTAGTATTTGATCGTCAGCTGTCTTCGTTGAGGATTCTAAGCAGAGGATAAACGATGACTTACCGTATGAGAAAAGTACACATTAGTAATCCTATATATTTATTAAATGATTATGATGAAATGTAGCAAAAATCATACGAGAACACCCTAAATGATTTTGTTGAACTTTAACACTTCACAAATACTGTTAATATTTGTGTTCCCACCTAGCGGAAGTCTGATTACTTGATAAATTATGCTACATCACATCTACTTGATTGATATGTTCTCTCCCTTCCGTACACCATATCTAACATCTGTTCAACAGAAAAGGTATATTTAAGATGTATGAACACAATTATTCTTCATGTCCATTTAATCATTGCCCACATTTTTCTTCACAGTCAGCTAGTTTGACGTTTTTTCTCGCCTTAACTATTAAATCTTAATTGCAAATAAAAAGTATAAATTTCAAATTTTATCGCTCATTTCAAGTGGTAATAACTATCTCCATCCATGATGCCTTCAGTAAATATGAGCGTTCTCCTTATTGGTATTTCTTTATGCCTCATTACTCGTAAGTTAGATTTTCAAATCAATTCTTTCACAACCTAGAAAACGATTTTCAATAGAGCAAATCCATTCAGCTAGAATTCCTGACATTGGACGAGAATCACAGATGGCCGACGATTCGGAAACAGCAGAAGATCTTTATCCGCCACAGCTTCATCCGTGGCTTGGTAAACGTATCATTGACTCAGCTGAGAAATATTTTGATTGGGCAGGAAAAACGAATCGTAAGTTACTCAATACGAATTATCTATTCATGTTCATTTTTGGTGTTTCCAGGTCCTATGGAATATCTTCGTGGCAAACGTTTTTGGCTTTTCGCCAAAAAAGATGAGCATGGCGCTAGCCACGAAATAGCACATGATTCAAATACGCCATCCAATTCAGTCAAACAAGGTATTTGGCGATCGGGCATTGTCGGACGTCGTTAAAAACTCAACTTGTCCGAAGACGAACATATGCATATATAAAACAATCGTTTTTTTCCTTCTTTTCGCTCTGTTCGGTTTTTTTCCGTAAGTTTAATTTGCCGATCATATGCAATCGTTGAAATCAGTGAAACATAGTTTACACTAGAAGACTTCATGGTCTATCTATGAAATAAATCGTAAAACAATGTGGAGCAACATCAAAAGCTCGTACATCCTTACTTTTTTCTATACAATATGCAAAGGTAAATTATTCGGAAGGCGTAGATCGTGACATACAAGAATTTACGATAACCAACTGTTAGTGAGATCCGAAATACCTGACGATAGACATTTTGCGAATGGGTGAGACATATTAGGACCTCGATAACCACATGACGACTCATTAAAATTATATATGAATGTCAAATTACTTGGTTAAATAACATCTCTTTTTTTCTGCTGTCTGACCTGTGCAAAGATCTATAACCAACTGAATTTTACAATAATTTGTATAATACAGATTTTGATGTTCTGTGACAAATGTTTGTTCAAGTAAGTTCAAATTCAATCGCACTGCACTATGCAGCTCGATCCATCTGTTCTCCACGGTAGTTTTAAAATATAACATGTGATACTTGCAAACCAGAACCAAGTGAAACCTGTTTTCTACTCTTATAATGCTTTGCGCTAACAATGACTCAGCTTCCGTTCGATATGCTCTTAGCAGTATATCCAAATATTTACTATGATCAGTCTTATATTTTGACTGAATGAAACCTGTTTAAAATAAAAACTGATGTTTTATTTGAACACTTAAAAGAAACCTGAACATTGAACGAATGTTTCCAACGTTGATAATCTGTTCGGATAGATCGTCACGCACCTGACCGAAAAGCCCAATTGCGAAGAAAGAACTAAAGATTAGTGAGCTAATTTAGTAATAGAGAGACATATACACAACGAAGTGTTGATAAAAATCATGTAAAAATATACATATATATATAAATAAATATAGACATTTTTTTTCTTTTGCGCACATTGATTAACTTGCAACGACTTGAATTGTTGGAAGGTCATCAACTGATCGTTGACTATGCAGGCGAAGTAGTTTGGATTCTTGTTCAATGCGTCGTTGTTGTAATAGTTGTTGATGACGAACAAGATCAGATTTTTCTTCTGTTTGAAATAATGTCGCACGGTTTTGATTCTGATGTTCGTCCTTTTTTATCCAATGTCCATAAAGTACAAAGGCGGTTGAGTCGATCATTTTACGATACGATTTGAATCGATAGGGGTTTTCTACAAAAGCAAGTCATAGATGTCATTATCAAAATAAAAAATAGTTTTACCTAATAGTTCTTTTCCACGTATTGGCTGTGGTCGATAATGTAGAGTTCTTAGACGATATATGGACCAAA